CTTTTGCTGAGTGTGAAAAAGTCGAATTTATGCAACTCCTATAGGTCCTAGGAATCGTTCATACCAAGTTAGACGTGGAAAAGAACTTGCATTCACTTGAAGAACAAAATTGCTGCAAAAATATTGCAAACATGGACTCGCATTTGTATTTTATGCATCCTGTATTATCCAGAGCCATGGAGGCTAGGTTATTGCAAATATTTGTAGAGATTTTTCCCAAAAAATACTAATAATGCGATTTTGGTTTCGAAAACAAAGACTTAATTGAGTCTAACGCTATTGTTTGTAAGGGTTTCCACCTATGTGGATTGACGCGAAGTCTTCATTAAATAAATTCCATTAGTGGTAGATTGAAGCAATTGAAATGAATAGCACTGTTGCCCACGGCTACAATTACTGCACAGATGGTCACTGGCCCAACCAGACCAAGATTTACCTAGGTTAAGATCCAGAAAAAAATGAATAAGCATTATTTCATCCTTGTTTTAACATTCGCGGCCCAAAAATAGTTTACTTTGATTCCAAGGGGCTTTCAGAATACAACACCAGTTTAATAACGATAGATTGAAGAAATCCAGCAAAATACCAGAAGCCTTACATGTTAAAGATCATACTGATCGTTTTCTGGTGCACATACTACAAATTGAAACTGACTTGCAAGGATTCAGAAGGTAACCCTCCCACTTCGATAATACTACTTTATCTTGGTAATTAAGGGAGAATGCATTCATTCGTCATAAACGATGCAGCCAAAACAAACATTTGTCTAATTTGCTAACATGAAAGCTATCTTTATAAATTGCAGTCATTTCCTCCTATTAACCATCAAAAATTTATTTTGTATGCTTCTAGAAGGCGTAATTTGGACGCTAAAGCGTCCCCCGCTTCCCGCGCTTCCCATTGAGAGGCAGCAACTTGTGGTGAAAAGCACAGCATACGAAGCAGTGACGGCCATCCACTGCACTATGGTGGGCGTTCAGGCTACTTTGCATACAGTCTAAGTAATAAGAGGCGGAGAAACTTATAGATAACTAAACAAATGTAAAAAAGCAATTAAATAAGTGTGACAAACGGATTCACGGGGATAGAAGATACATGAGTTAGCGAATATCTGTAAAGCTCTTAACTATTTGAGTCAAACAGATTAAGTTCAAACACTTATGATTAAATGCACTATTTCATTGTTTTAATTCATAAAACTGAACATATTTCCTCATCTCTTATTTCATAAGTAGAAGTAGTCAAATTGGTAGGATAGAGTATTTGCATTCATCATTATACCAGATTTACAGGTAGTGTTATATTCTAATTCTTAAAGATTAAATTCGCGAAAAAAAGGTCTATCACCTTCGATCCATCCCATTCTGTCACTTCGATCCCATGGTCCTGTGGAAGAACCCGATTGGTCATGCCTGTTTAATTCGGGGTCAAGGGCATTTCGAGCCAATAGACTGTTAAGAGCATAACGCTAGGAGAGATTGAAATTTCCCTTATGCTAATAATTCGTGACCCATCAAAGTTAGAAGTGGATAATCTTGCGAATATCTGAGTAAGTTGTCTTTTAAGTTCCAGATATACATGTTGACATTTACACGTTCCATTTCTTATTACTAACAATGTAGTTGTTCCATGGCCGTATTTTTCACTGAAAAAAAGCATATTTGTGCAAATAATATACCGGTGTTGCAGGTCCGTTAAACAAAGACGGAGGCTTAGCAATCTTACTTTAAGCCCGATTGTTACGTACATTTATGTATTACTAGCGCTCTTCTGAAATTGGCTAACATCGTTTGGATGCGGGATTTGGAGCTTCATCCTTTAACATTGCTCTGAGGCGGCTCCGTTTGGAGGGAAAGTGTGTAATTCTCTACTTTCATCAAAAATTCGAGGGATACTTATTCCCTCCATGAATTGGCTTTCAAAATTTTTGGGTCGAAATATTTTGAGACCATAAAATATGCTAGATCAAACTTAAACTACAACGAAAGATATAAATAAAGTAAATTTTTATAATGAAGGGACAAAACGGTACAAAAAACTGGAATCAAGTGTGATTAACTTGACTTGTAAAACCATAATGCTAAGCCCCACGCTGCTGCCCTCGCCGACTCTAATCCTGTTATATACACATCCATTCATCCGTACAACCATCTATCTGATATCCATCCTTGGCTATACGTATACATTCCAATACTTTTACCCAATTCTACAAATCATTTTTGGTGTATTTTATATAAAAGTGAGCAATTTTTGTTAAAATTAACCTGTATTGCGTCGATAACGTCTACCAGCTTACAAAAATTCAAAATTATTCACAGAAGTAAGTATCTGAAGGTCGACGCATGTCTTGGTATATGAAGTGAAGTTACCTTGCGAAATTAGCAATCCCACTATGAAAAATGGGTTTGAAATGGGCAGTCTCGTAATAGTTCCCATTTAAGATGTGAGAACTAATGCGACCTATCTTTTAAGTAAATTTATATGTCACTTCCAAGATCCGATATTGAAGTATCCCATATAGATTCAGGAAGATATTTAAAGATAAAATAGTGGCACTGATTTAAGCTGGGTCAATGCACAAAATTTCTACGTCTTGCGTTTGGATTCCAGCTTTTATGGACTACTCCGTAAGTTGACTTAGCAGCTCAAAGTGTATGTATCTTATCTAGATGAATATCAAGTACGACAGTGAGGTGGAAAAGGAGGTTCTTGATTGGATTGGACAGCTTACGGGTGCCAACATTGAAAGTGGCAGGGAAAAGGTGGCTGCGGCTCTGAGAGATGGTAAAATCCTCATCAAGTTAGTACTTTCCATTTTCCTTACTCACAGTGCAAGTTTCTACAAAAAAATAATAATTTACTCGTGTTTTGCGCAGGCTTGACCAATTATCTATGAAAATTATCAAAGTGGCTCTGAGAGAGTCGCCATATTTCTACAGCATTTAATTATGTACTGACAACCATCGAATAATAGCAGCGCGGCGACTTCCCTCCTTCTAATTTTTTACCTCATGTCCGATCAAATACTATGTTACAGTATTCAGCAAATCCATTGACGCTGGAATATTATTTAGCCATCTTCCTGGTATTATCCCGCATAGTAGAACAGCCTTTCTGCAATTGACAAAATAATGAGTTTGAGAGGTGGGTTTACAAGATACCTACCAATTTATGTATCAGAACATATTCATTTCAAACGAATGTATTATTACCAATTAAGATAATTTGATCGCTATTGAGCACTTTTAGGATCTCAAGACTGAAAATGGCGACAGCTTAAAAATGAAAGCTATTAGCTCTACGGCTCTTATTCACCGAAATGAATGCGAACGTTCTTTTGTGCAACTAGTAGAGCGACCGTGTCCATGACTGTGATGCCTAAGGGAGGAAATAAATATTTTTACTTGCGGCGGATAGAGGACATATTTTTCGTACCTACGGTGTACTTTGGATGCACACTATCCCAATAACTTGATGTAACTTCCAGATGGTGCATAAGTCAAATGGAAGCGAATTGAACAGCGATGTCACCTTAGCTACCTAGAACAAAACATACTTCTAATCTAATCACTGCCACATCAGACTTACAAAAAGTCGTGATATAAATCGGATTGTAGGGGAATTCGCTTTATAAACTACTTCACACGTTTTACCTGTTTGGATGTTGGATTTTGGTCAAGATCGACAATTGAATGCAGAAAAATTGTGCCTTGGGAAACCTAGGTGATTGGATAAATGCATAACTCCCTTTCCTACTTAAAGGCTTCCTGTTCTTTAGATTAGTGAATGCAATTTATGAAGAAACGCCTGAATTACCAAGCAGTGCTGCTAACCTTCGTCGACCCTTCAAAGCTAATACTTCGAAGATCTCCTTCAAGATGGTGATTTCCCACAAAAAATATTTATTAGTATATTAATGGTCGACTTTTATCAAGCTTCCTTGATCCTTCAATTATAGTAACCTTAAACGTCTAATATTAAAGCCTTAGTAAAATATTGGCTTAAGAAATCTGTGAGAGCCTATTCTGAATGCATGGACTTCCCGAATAAATCTACCACTTGATAGGAGAACACTGCATCTTGAGTTAGTTATAACAGATAGGGTTGGTTCAAATAAGGCAGCAGTTAAAGCACCTTAAGTTTAGGATGCTGCAAAACTCACGTTTTGGCAAGTTTTAATGATTTCTCGCGTAAGTCATGCTGCAGTTAATGGAATGGCTTCCTTAACCACGTCTCATAAAATCCCAGCACGCATATTATAGGCCAAGTTAGTAAAGTGAAAGGTAATTGAATATCTCCCTTAAAGATGGAGAACATAGAAACATTCATCAACGCATGCGCTGCCTATGGAGTACCGAAAACGGGGCTGTTTCAAACCGTCGACCTGTTTGAAATGCGCAACATGGGCCAAGTCATAAATTGCATCTACCAACTTGGAACTGAGGCAAGTTCTTAATGTTATCACTTGATATCTGCATGTCATTTGGGTTTAGCCATGGACGTGAATAGATTTTTCAAGCGCGCATAAAATGCAATGTAGCTTCCTTTAGTTGAAACACATTCCAGTTACTTTGTTACGCTTAAACTTTTACTATAAAGCCAATCAACTGTTTGACTTCAGTCGAATCAAAGTGCTAGGTCTACCAAGTCTCAGCTACTATGTAAACATTCCTATATCTTCCCACTAAAGCACTTAGAATTAACTTGTGATCTTTTGGCTTTTCCTGTATTTGAAAGAACTGGTGGTATTTTAAGTGCTTGCATCGTGTAAAACAAACCTACTTGCAAAGTGATGAAAACCTTATTCGAAATAGACTGTACCAAAATTATCACAACCCACGGGGAAATCTTACATAGCCATTCAATAATTTCTCAAAGTCTTCAAGTCCTAACCTCTCAAATCGCGATTTCAGTGTCAGCGTCATAAATTTAACGGACCAAAGTGTGGACCGAGGCCTACCAATGAGAATAAGAGGATATTTTCGCCTGAACAACTGGCTATGTCAAACACGGTAATTGGTCTCCAGGCCGGTTCTAACAAGGGCGCCAGCCAGAAGGGTATGAGTATAGGCGCTGTCCGCCATATTGCCGATATAAAGGCGGGCGATATGACGAGAGAGGCCCAGGGTATCATTGGCCTACAGGCAGGATCAAACAAGGGTGCCAGCCAATCCGGGATGAGCATCGGTGCTATGCGTCATATTGCCGACCTGAAAATTGATCAGATGTCAGCAGACGGTAAAACGGTTATTGGTCTTCAAGCGGGCTCTAACAAGGGTGCTAGCCAATCAGGTATGAACATGGGAGGTATTCGCCATGTCGCTGATATCAAGGCTGATAGCATCTCAGAAAGCGGGAAGAAAGTAATTGGTCTGCAGGCTGGCACAAACAAGGTGTCCAATCAGTCGGGAATGAGCATGGGTAAGATCCGCCACATCGCTGATCTCAAAGTCGGAGCCATGTCAGACGAGGGGAAAAGCGTGATTGGTCTGCAGGCTGGCTCCAACGAAGGTGCAACCCAGGCCGGGATAGCATTCGGCGGTCGGCGGGATATCACGAAACCTATATAAAGCGTCTCAATTTTTGAACTACATACAAGCACAAAAGTCAAACTTCTAACTTTATTTTGCCACTGCTGACAACCGACTATGCTTTGATAGATTTGGATTTAAGGAGAATTTGTTCTTGTATTCGAATTTGACTGGATCTTTAGGTTATGCAAATCATATGACTACTAATTTGACTAAACTTCAATTTATTCCTCAGTTATTGCAATGTGTCCTGGGAGTAGAAGACTTATTTCTAAGACGCCATACAATCTGTCCTTACAAGATTACGTTTGCCTAGCTCGAGATCCATCAAGTTACAAACGACATTTATGGCTGTTACGCAAAATTAGCTATCATTTGGAGGAAGATTAAACAAACCAAGCATTTGGAATATTTTATTTTAATAAGGCCGCCTAAAATAATGCCTTAATATTTCATAATGGAAATTTGGGCATCATAATGAAAATCTGCATAGCTGGTGATGTATGTCAAAAGATTTTTGAGAAGTAGCATAGGAAAAGAGATTAAAAGTCAACATTAGAGCCGCTAACTGCAAAGGATGTGGAAAAAGGGAATAATTTTAGTAGTGGATAAATAACGGAGGATGCGGCAGCATGCCATTACACCCTGTGCAATGAACACAACCAAGGGCAAACTTGCGCACAACCTGAAGAAGCTGAGGGAACCACCTTCAAGACCAAAACTAGTTCCCTCTTCAAGTCTCACTTCCTCGTATTATCATGCACTTTTTACCTCGACAGCACAACTCTGCACATCCTCATACTTTGAGTCTGCATAGTTCAGGACACTGGATTTGAGGTTTTTTGTGTTTCAGTGCTATGTTAATATGGGAGATAGGTCATTTTGTAAAATCTGGCTTTTATAACCGGCTGTGATAAGAACGTTAATCTCTCTCCGGATCAGTCATTTATTCAGGTACTTTAATGCATCCGTTAGAATTTTATCTAACGATGTTATTGTAATTACACTACTTAGGCAGATTTGAGTGTGCAATTTAACAGGATTTTATGAGATTACTTAATAAACTAAGATCCATTAGTCAAATTGCGAAATCAGCATACCCACACCCAAGCACACACGGTCGCGTTTAACACAAGTATAAATTAGGAAGAACCGCCGACGTTACAGCCATTATTTCACGAGCTCCATTGGTAGGTTACCCACGAGGCCGAACAATTGAAAGTGCCATTATTGATTTGCTTACATTGACAACAGTTAGCCAAGTGATGTTCAAATTTCAAAAGAAATGCCTCTCTCTGGCACAGGAGGCGAATCGCCACATAGAGTTAACATTGACGAAGAAGCTGATTATGACTTTGAAGACATTTTTGAAAAAGCTGGCCAGGACATTCGACAGGACCATCAAATGACCAACATATTCGACCGATCGGACACAAAAACAACTTTTTTTGAGAGACTCATGGGTGCGCTAGAGGATATTCATTATCTGATGTCCTTCTCTTCCCCGATTATTTCCCATTATTTCCAAAACGTCACAGAATGCATGATTAAAAGAAAAGTGCGTCAATTCATGAAACTACTCGTTGCCTATTGGTGTGTCATGCTCATCAAATCACTTCGACAACCAGATGCCTCAGTGACCAATCTCAAATTCGCCGCCCTCATGATGGGATCCTTTATATTCCTCTACATATACACGTTTCGACGGTTAAGTCGCAGTGAGTATAAGTTCATTTCCTTACTCCTAACGATTGGCAGTCTAAACTACACACTCTATGAGTCCTGCAGGCAGGAAGCCGCAATGGATGGCTCATACGCCTATCCCTTTTCTCTCATTGTTACGATAATCGTCTTCCTTCCTCTGGACATGAATATAATTGTACCTGTCCTGTTGGTATTTTGCGTCATCTTCTGCATCATATCCTCGCGCCAGGTCACCTATTCCCACATAAAACGAGATCTCTACAAGAACAGCATCCACCCACTCTACTCGCAAGTACACGCCTACAAGTTTTACATACTCGAAGGTGGTACGGAGGCCTGGTCTATCTTTGCAGAGGACTACTGCATGGTTCAGGCTACCAGTTGGCTCACCGTTATTTTCATTGGCTGTTACTTGAGATTTTGGAACGATTTGCGTCGGCGATCCGCATTCTCCATCATCGGCAAGTCAGTGCGAGCCCGCAATCAAATCGAGACATCTCTGACTGATCAAAGAGATTGGATCACGGCCATCATGCCCGTGCAGGTACGAGATCATTATATAGCGATGCTGAGGGACAAAAGCCAGGGGGATGATATTTGGGTTTTCTCGAAATCCTTCAACGAAGTCAGTATCCTCTTTGCTGACATTGTTGGCTTCACGAAAATGAGTTCATCGAAAACGGCCACCAAAATCGTCATGCTGCTGAACGATCTGTACAATCGATTTGATGATTTGTCCACTCAATTAAATTGTGAAAAGATTGGCACACTCGGTGACTGCTACTACGCTGTCGCTGGGTGCCCAGTGGAACGCGAAGACCACGCTATGTGCTGTGTCGAGTTCGGCCTCGGCATGTGCCGCATCATCAAGGTATTCAATAGGGACAATAACGAGGAGGTCAACATGCGTGTTGGGGTGCATACGGGCCGCGTAAATGCAGCCATAATTGGTTGTAGCCGCTTCCGATACGACGTCTACTCGACAGATGTAATCGTAGCCAACGAAATGGAGACCTACGGCCTGCCTGGTCGCGTACACATCTCGCATACAACATTCAAACTGGTGAAAGGTCTCTACCGCTTCGCCAAAGGCCCACCTCTGCCCATGCTCAAGGAACAACAGGTCGGCATGGGCGGCCTGGATCAAGTGGAAGTCGAACTTAAGACCTACTTTGTTGATCCACTCTCGTCCCTCATGAGAAAGCAGAGTGAAAATTATGGGCAGACAGGAATGCCAAGCCGTATTCTGACACTTCAGAGTGAAACAAAAAATGGAAAAATGAGCGACTCCGAGGACGAGTCTACAGGGAGTGAAGATGCCAGTGGAACCAGTGACAAGTCAGCCCAAAATTCCCAAGGTAAGGGCACAATTTTTTCCTCGGACGACCAAAATTCGACATTAAGTGAGGCAGAAAACGTTCGACGACGTAACTTACGCGATATTCGGCTTGTTCAGACACTTCAGGATGATCCCAAACACCAGGTGAAGCTGTTTCGATTTGTGCCTCTGACACCAATTTTTCATCGCTTTCAAGATACAACCATCGAAACCGCCTTCAAAAACTATATGCAGGGATACCTACCAGTTGTCACCATTGAATCACCACGCTTAGCACCTGTTCTCGATGTCCTAATGATATCTCTCACTACCATGGCTATCCTGGTTCCGTACATAATTCATTTAAATGTGGACTCTAATGGATACCTTGCTCGTGAGACCCCGGTTCCTATGGCTGTGCTGGCTTCGTCATTCATCTTGGCCTCCATTTTTGCATACGGATCAACAAAACACGCTTCCACCGTTGTTGTGGAGCGTAACACTGGATTCAGAATCTTTGCAAGTTACACCTTTCGAGAAATCGTCCTTGCGATTTTGACCCTACTGCCCTCTGTCGTGTTTTTTGTCCAACTCTTCTCCGCAGACATCGAAAATGACGCCAATACTCAGGATCGTGTGATATACCTGGAATTCGGGATGCTGACCATTTTAGTGCACTGCATGGCCACATCCAGTTTTTCATGGGTCCGCGGATTCTGCATCCTCATAAGTGCTATTGGTTTTTGTTTCGCGCTTGGGAAGGTTAGAAAAGATTTTGATTACGCCTATTGCGAGCCCACACTCTGGTACATGCACATGGATAAACCTGTAGAGGGCATCAACGAACGCATAGCCTCCATTTTTACATTGGCAGCAGTGGTTTACTTCATTACCACAGAGAACGAAAGGAGCATTCGGTTGTGGTACTATGTACTTCGTGAGGCCGAATTTGCTTGCCGGACAGCAGTGAAGGAGAGCGAATCGGCTCAACAATTATTGGACAATGTTATTCCGCCGTACATCTTCACCCAGCTGGCGATGCTAGGTCATCGACGTCTGAAGGCAGGAACATTCTGCTTTGCAAATGCGATCTCTGACGTCGCGGTTTCTTTCGCCACCCTGACCAACTTCTTCAAGAGCTACTACCGGGAGGACTATCGCGGTGGTGAAGGTGCACTCAAACTCCTAAATACTATCATCTGTGCCTTCGACAACCTGATGAAACAGCCGCAGTATGCGAGTGTCGAGAAGATCAAGACAGTCAATGACTGCTACATGATTGCAGCAGGGTTGAATCAGCTGCAGCGTGAGTCACAAGTGCCGAAGGACAGGCATATCTACGAGTTGATGGAATTTGACTTCGCTCTGTATGACACTCTGAATGAAATCAACGACAAATACATTATAGGCACGGACAAGTTTCAGATGAAAATAGGTTATTACATTGGTGATGTTACTGCTGGAATTATAGGCTCTCGCAAGCCCATCTACGACATATGGGGGAACACTGTTAATGTGGCTAGTCGAATGTACTCCACAGGATCTGCGGGTCAGATACAAACGCCGAAAGAAGTCACTGAACGACTGGGTGACCGATACAACTATGAGTACAGAGGACGAGTGTTTGTGAAAGGTAAAGGGGACATGCTTACCTATTTTGTCCATAAAAAGGGATTTGACTCGACTGAATACAGCAGCAGTGACTACATGTAGGCTCAAAACAATGTCAACGTAAAACAAAAGTGCTTTCTCTTGTTTGGACGAAAACAACTTAACAAGTCAATATGGCATAGAAACCATCTTTTCTTGTCTACATACATTGAAGACGATTTTCCTACGAAATGAACCTAGTCTAGAATTAACATGATCAACTTTATCACAGATTTCCTACAAGCGGGAAATGAATGTAATTTGTCGAATGCATTTAGCATTAAGTCACACATTTTCCTATTTCGTCTAAATCAATTTAATTGGCTTTCAGGCGGAAACACCTGTACTGCACTAGTTGTTGGCCAAATAAAAGTTGCAAGTTAGATGGCAGCATGTTAGCTTAAAAACTATCTCAGAAAATAAAAATATTGTACACACATTTCTGCGTTTTCATTAATTAGGTGCAGCGGCCGTTTCATTTGTCAAGGTTGGGGTGGCCTGCTCGCCGCAATGGTTTTGACGTCGTTTAGTGATATTGGGAAGGCTGCCAAAGACATTTTTACAAAATATTTCAAATTCAACCTTATAAACTTTGACTTTAAATCAGGTACTGAAGAAAATGTTGATCTGCATATCCAATGCACTGAAAATGACAACCAAATAGTTGCGGCTTCTGACGTCACGTTTAAGCCTGTCGATGGGGTGTCCGTGAAGACGAAGGTAGACTCAAAGAACCAAATAACAAATGATATTGAAATCAAAAATCAGTCATGGTCAACACGACACAATATCATTACTACCGTTGATCATAACCTTGGGTAGTCTTTTTCGCATTACTGATACGTAACATAGCACGAAGCAACTGAAGTTGAAGAACAGTGTGCAAAAGGACAAGGTTAATGCTGAAATAGAAATGGACTTCGCCTCCAAATATCCTCGAGCAACTGCCTCACTTGTTGTTGGGTGAGCACATTGTTTTTGCTCTCTAACTGTACCTTAGTGATAAGGGTTATGTTGCTGGTGCACAAGTTGTAGTTGACACAAGCGATTTCAAACTGAAAAATCACACTTACTCCGTCGGATACAGTGGAAAGGGTATTGAGGTCTACGGGTCACTCAGTGATCACAAAGACATTGAATGGAGAGTCCTCCAGACCTATCAACGCATAAGCGTTGGGTGTATGTTTGGGTGGGCTGGGAACTTTTCAAATACCAAATTTGGCGTTGCTTCTTTGTACAAAGTGAATGAGGATACCTTTATCAAGGGTCGAATCGATGAAAATTCACACCTTGCACTTGCCTATGGATTCAAACCTACACCTGGTAAGCTTTTATTTTAAATAATTTTCCTAACATCGTGAATAATTCGCCGATCGGATTGTTTAGCCTACTTTTAGCTTTTCTGGCTGCTTTTGAATAATTGGTAAATTTAAGTGGTTTACTTTGTATCTACAATAGTCTGAATGTTTCTCTTTTGCTTTAGAAACCCAGGTGATTGTCGCGCTGGAAACTTCTCTTAATGGGAACAACGTGGCATCGGGTAGTGGACTTACATTTGAAATTTCGAATTAGCAATTCCGGCTCCTCTCGGTCATTTTAGTTTACCGACCAAATAGCCTACACATTAAAAAAACTAGTCGTTTGATGAATTTTGGATTGCTTTTGTCATGGGGGGAGCGGGTTGAACAGTGGACTTCTAAATCTCGAATTCCTTCCGGTGGGATGCGGTGCCGTCTCTCGTTAAGCCCTTTTTAGTTCAGGGACTAAGAACCAGCTTAGGTGTTTGTTACGTCATTTTTAGCTAACATTGCTTACGAAGGCATGAGGAAAAGCCGAGCTCGGAAGGGGTGGCTGGAAATTCCATGAGATGGTGGGGACCGTTAATGTTCGCACAGTATCCTCGCCGTTGAAATACGCTTTGTCTTGGGATGCAGTCTAGGATTTTCCAGCGACTGAGCTTTAACGTCGTCGGCGGCCATAATCGCCTACGGGGGATGAACGAATGCCACATGGTGGACTGAGGTCGCAGCGGGACTTCCCAATCATGTATTGCTTCCACATTCTTTTCTGTTCTGTCTGCATACAAGCTGGAGGTAATCGATTCCTAAAGCGCTGTTTAAGGTTTGACTGTTCTCTACACTGAGACCATGTTACAAAATTGCACTTTTTCTTAAGGAGGTCTGTCTAGATGCAAATCTCTGTGTAATTTAAGTAATAAGTTGTGAGGTATGCCTATTATCGCCTCTCTTTCTGCTCTGTTGATGGTTTATTCGAAATCCTACATATTTCTCAGTTCTACAAAGCACGGTAGACACCCGATTTATGAATTCTGCCGACTGTTCCATAATTTTAGGGAGATGTTTTTGCTGTTATTACGAATTTGTCGCACTCTGCTAATGGCATTGCTGTCGACCAAGTGAGTCGGCATAGATTCAGCCCATCATAACAGATCCCGTTCCCCAAGTGCCTGCTAACACGCCAAGTTATAGCCGACTCTTCTCTGAAGGCCTTCTCAAAGCAGGTGCAATATGCCTAAGAATTAAACTGTATCGGCCAAACCTCGCAACTGCAGCTGATGTGGTGCGGTCCGTGCCGGCTTCCCATTTCATGCCTTTAATTTGAGAATGCTAGACAGTGCTATTTTTAAGAGGCAGGTTAACCGTGCTTAACCGGGGAAGTAATTGTGGTTAGATGTGTGAAGGTCAGCATAAATGTTCGAATAAGTTGCGGAGAGTGGTGCTGGTTGGCTAAACTGATCACTCGAAAGACCAGTCGAACAAACTTCTTGTTTAGTGTTATTCCAAACTGGGATTAGCTAAGATGGCTTGTTCATTATTTGGGAAAGGGCAGACAATGGTCACTTACTTCTCAGGTAGCGGGGTAAGGTATGTGAATAGGCAATAACACGATGTCTGCTGGATGAAGAACTTGAAGTGTAGGTGTACAGTTCCCCTGTTTGGAATGCTACATTTACACTTCACATTTGCCCTATATAGATAATGCTGCCAATGTGGAGAATCTGAAAAGTAGAAGTCTTTTTTGACAAGCTTTTTATTGTCTTTCCAAAACCATGCACAAAAGAACCCATTTTCTCGTACCTGAGATTTGCTGCGAGAACCAGCTTCTTCTAAAAATGATGGTACGCCAAAAAAATAAGACCCGGAGCTCTAAGGTGAGTCCATTTTCATCTAGAACATAACACTGAATTACTTCTGCCTTCATCCATGCTTATGCACTCGCCATCACATCTGAGACGCTTTCATTGCCACAGATTTGGAATTAGTGCAGCCTGCTACCTCGTTTATGCACTGGACGGTAGGCGTGAAACTAATCTCACTGTTTTTTAGCATGACTGATTAGCAGCAACTACATATTGCCTGAAATATTCCGAAAACACGAGAGCAATCAGGACAGTTCGAGTTGGGTTCAACAACAAATTGCTGCAAGTTGGCTGAAAGATGTCACTTACTTCGTGCACAAGTATTTGCACTACAAGGTGTTGGACTCACTTCACAAGAGGAGACGGTTATTTGTTAAGCAAGGAAAGTACCGCCGTACACAAGTAATGTCGCTTTTTGTCGTTCACACTGGCATGGCGCTGTGACACCATCTTGCGTACTTGATGGCACGTCACATTGCGTAAGGATTCATTTACACCTTATTCATTGCGTTCCACTTATCGCAGTACCTCATGATATGAAAGTGGTGTAATTTTAGATGATAAACAACACCTGCTTTGGCTAAGTATTAAAACATTCAGAAATGCTCAGATAGTGATGGTGTCATAAAAGGGAACAGTGCCTATTTCCCATATTTGAGAAGCAGTGAATTGGTGTATGTCTGGCCATGTTTTACTAGGCTGGTTCCTTGGTCTCTGCGGTTTGCACTTTTATCTTGATGCCTTAGCACCTGTTTAAGTTAATAATATGTCTTCCATGTTGGTGCAGCCAACTGCGACTTTAGAGGGACCTGGAGCGCTGGAGAGCGATTGCAAGCGGAATTGTTACGAATTCTTTTTAACGCAACGCAGATCAAGTAATAGTTAAAGTATTGGTCGCTTTCTGTGAGTGTGCTCTAATGATGTCCAACATTTTCGCACCGAACTATTTGTCTTATTGCAAATCCCTAATCACACTGCAAATCTGGTAAGGGGTACCTCAGCCTTCTATGGACCGGGAAATCGACGGATCATTAAGTATGGTTGTGAAAACGAGGTGGACACCACTGCTGAACCAAGAAAAGCCACTTTCTTAAGAAATTACCTCATGCATGAGGTTATAACACCTTCGTGGCCAATTTTAGACATAAAATTAGGCTATTTTAAATAATATAGCATTTTAACACCTTTTCTAGGGCGCTCATCTGCAGTGGTTCCTGATGGAGCATTCTAGGCTGAAGCAACACTACTTGTTTTACCGAATTCGCAGAGGCGTCCTCGTAACGGAAGGATTTGGTTTTACCAAGTTTATCTAATCTGTGGCTCACTTGCTATGGACGGAAGTTTCTTTAGCAGCAAAATAAGAAAGGGTTGACACGAGGTACGTTTTGAACCTTTAAGTTCGACGAATGAAGATGAAACACTTTTCTGCCTTAAAAGTCTCTTCAGGTCTCTGCCTTCCTTAAGGCATAGACTACTAGATGAGTCGCCACAATGGCTATTTTCCATAGAATGTCCGAGATATTGCGTGAGTTCCATAACATTCCTTGCTGAAAGAATAGCAATCACATCTGCTTAATATTTGACCTAGAAATACGTTGAACCTGAGGCCAATGCCAAGTCAATTGTAGTTACATGCAATCGCGCACAAAGTTTACCAGTTACCAGCTATTGCAAAGCCAATCACGGAAAAATACAGGGAGGGTGAAGTCAGTTGGGAAATTGGTACTTTATTGAAAAAGTGCTCAATATGAAGCTTACAGATTTAAAAGCAGCCGCCCTTGTACCACGCCCCAGCCGCTGATCAGTCTGAGTAAAAATTGCAAATTCTAATAAGCCATGGTACCCAAACACTCACAACTCCATACTGTCGAAACAGAACACCCAGTTGGTAACCATCCACCATCCTATACAAGTTACTGCGGCGACGCGTTATCGTAACAACAAATCGGAGAACTCCTGGCAATTCACTAACATGACTTTGCTGCAAATGCAGGCAGCATATTGTACTTGTTTTAAGGTAGCAGAGACTAAAGAAACCCACGAATAACTCTAGGAGATAACAGCTTCAAAGCATTAAAAAACTATTTATTTAAGTCACAGCCGGAACCAATGGGTAGTGAATAACAGAGAAGAGTACATAGCACGATCAAGCGGCAATACTGACCGAGGCGTTGAACTTCGTACAAGCTGCATCCGGTCCGAGGTTGGAGGAGAAACCGACCGTCGTTACAACTCCTGAAAAGGAAAAAAGGATGACGGAACCACGGGACTTGATATGACTCATGGGGACGAGAAGCCATAATTTCCAACCAACCGTTGGTGAGAGTAAATCCATAATTCCAGGCGAAGAACCCATCCCGTGTGAGACAAAATTTGATGAAAGACCAAGAATTCGGTTTGTAGCACACGGCGACCGTTAACTGCTGCTTTTGTTGAGATGCTCTATCGGAGAATGAAATGAGCCCCACATCGAATCGCGGGTGTCTTCGAAGAACCCCATAGGAAAAACGTTGTAACGATTGGAATCTCTTCAGTGAAAAGAAACCGAACGCCTCTATATTTCTTGAAGTATATCCAAGCTTCAAGTCGAAATACCAATGAGATGGCTTTTTGAGGGACGCACCCACTCGCGGACCTACTAAGAAGTTACCTTTACTACAAAAACGTCCATAGCATAAGAATTGCGACTTACCTTAGAACGAAAGCCAAATACGACTTCACCTTCTTGCCATGAGACTCCGTAACAAGGTCGACTACCATATTATCTGATGAAAAACTACTTCGTGACCGTAAAGCAGGATCTTTGAATGGCGTATTTGTATGTTTTCGAGCCGATATATTCGAGAGTGCTGCAGAGAATTCTTGTTGGACTGCATTCATAAGTAAGGGAAGTGTAAACTTGGTGCCAAAGGAAGCGGGTTGAAGAAATGTAAAAGTCAATTGCGCATCTTTGAAAGGCGATACAAAAAACTCTGCATTGATGAGTGACCGACAACAATTGTTGTAGGCATAAAATGGTCCGTAGGCATAGTTTGGTGGACGTGCTAAAAGTGAAACCAACAGTCCTGTATTCCCCCGGGATGTAAAGTTAAATTTCATATTGGGAGAATTCCAGTATAAATCATCACTGACAAATTCTTCCACCTGTGAACCAATTGTTTCGAAAGACGGAGGCGACATCCCCAAAAGGAAAACAGGACGTATAACCAAGTGTACAAGCGATGCAGACGCAGCACAGACATCCTTGATCAGCCCAACGTTGACCAATAGAAAGAGGCAAAGTAAACATTTGGCAGAGCACTACAAGTAAACGTTTAGAAAAGTGTTAATAGTACATTATTAATCAAAAAGGAAAAGAATGAATAGACGAAGGAAGGGGGATAGAAAGTGATTAAATGCTCGATCAACCACGAGAAAAACTAGCAGCGATGAGGGAGAACACATATCTAGATGAGGTACATCAAATAAGGATGTTTTTTGGTCGATTATTTTTCAAAAAAACTGAACAACATTTGCAAGATAAATATAAGCAGAAAATAAGACCCAAAGTAGCAGCCAAGCAAATATCGAAGAGTAAGCAACAGCATTCCCGCCTACTAGTTACTAAATTCTGTCAAATCAAAAAAACGGAAGCAAGGTAGCTCACAGCTGGTACATGATCTCCAAACTACGCAGAAATTTGGGCGAAGCGTTCAGGATGTTTTTGGGCTAATATCTGCGACTTAGCCAACAACCCAGTTAAACAATTGTATCTAACACAAAATAAACCCCAGGTCCAGGATTTTTTTACAAGTCATTGAGTAATTTTTACAGAGGAAGAAAGTGTACAACGCTTGATTTAAAAATTTGGTTCCCAAATTCGGTAATGTGCCCATGACTATGCCATGCATAACAACGCCAAACACTTCGTACCTCAGGAACATTTGCTCTTATTCAGTACGGATTCTAAAATTGCCCGAGATGCTGTATTAAAGCAAGCAGCAAGCAAATCCAATCCAAAAGTGCAATCGTTCACGATTTCGTTACCGTTAGGGCAAATTCATTCATTTGCAGCGGCTGGACGAATTGTAAAGATTGCTGACAGATGTGTCGAAATGGCTAATACCTATGGCAATCACTCCAGTCTTGTGTTTTACAACAATGTCACTAACTACTGGAGCGACACTAGCATTGGAACTTTGAAAATCCAACGTAGAACCGTCAACAGCATCGACACGAATACAATAGTTACTCAAACAAACCGCATTCCTTTCATCTGTTCATCGCCTGAATGGAACCCTGACAGACGGATAGAGAGCTGAAAGACTGAGCAACACTTGACCGAGAATAAAGAAGCAAAAATAAGTTGATACAGTACAGTAGTCTTGCGGAGTTATTCTATATATTGTCTTTTCTCAAATAACTCTGCTATTAGGCCGAGTTCCTTACTGCAAGAGATTGGCTCACCAGTCACCCCCACTGCAGGGCACGGTCTAGCCTTAGGCAGCACGCAGCCAGTGGACTTCCCTTCCCTTGCACAGCACAAATGTTAAACGCATCAGCAAATTCGTTGCAATTGCCGAAGTGTGGCTATGACATTAGGAACAGATGCATTCCTAAATGGAAGGAAACGCAACAGCATGAGTTGGTGAATCATGGGTCGCATTAAATGATCGACTACTTGCTAAGGGTTACTCAAAAGAAGAGAGGGGTTACCTGGTTATGTAGCACATTGTTTAACTACGTTAGCAAATGAGCCTAAGCAGGTTATACTTCCACCCTGCAGCATGGCCTATGGGTTTCACTACTCTATGCATCACTGATCTATGGTTCTCCGTGCTAGGTCAAGTTGATGCAAATTTATATTCCAAGAACCAGGCCGCATCTAGGGTGAGGGTTAATCTGCACATTTCGACCACACCAGTAGTGTATTCTATTTGCCCTATTCTATTTTTGACCCACTATGTCAGAAATTTGTTATATTCACCTTCCGGAAATGTTTCAGTCCTGTTGAGACATGCATGGTATTACTTAGCGAATCGTTGGCCCGTACAAAGCCAGCTTTTTCTAAATTTGTGTGTAGTTTTGCTATTTTAAAACTGAACTTGATCATTTTTTATTTTGATTTTATTTAAATCCTAATTTCATCAATTCAAATTTTAAAAAAAAATAGTTAAAACTTGAATTTTACGTTGTTTTTAATGCAAGTCTGCTTTATGGTCAAATATAATCATAGTTGGGACTGTTTTTAGCTAAGACACTTCAGACCTGTTAATGACTTTGTTTAAAATAACTTGTCGGTTGGGTGGGTTCACTTAGCGGATATGGTATGCTTGGTGTTTGTTTTCCTCCGTCTTTGTGGACGTTATTTGTTGAGAATTCTCCATTTTAGCCGCCGAAAACAGCAACAAAGACTCCAAAAAAGGACCCTAAGGCATCGAAACCTAAAAAGGATGGTGGCGGTAAGGCCAAGAAGAAGAAGTGGTCGAAGGGAAAGGTCAGGGACAAATTAAACAACATGTGCCTGTTTGACCAAGCTACCTACGACAAATTCCTTAAGGAAATTCCTCAGTGCCGATTAATCACTCCTTCTTCTGTGTCTGAGCGTCTGAAGATCCGCGTTTCTTTGGCTCGAGCTGCGCTTAATGAAATGAAGAATCAAGGTAGTGGGTGTTGTTAGACTCATCATTTCTCTGCAGGCACTCTGAGACAGGTCTCCAGTCATCACGCTCAGCAGATCTATGTCCGAGCTACAAAGACCTAGATTGGCGTTTGTACAAAAAATAAACTTTTTAGAGGATGTTTGAGTTTTGTTTTCTGGTCTTTATAAGTAGTCGTTATTGCTTTTATAGGTACTGCAAACCCATTGTGTCGAAACCGCTGATCTCTATTTGGTACCCTACGAGGTCGGGCATGTCCCTAAGTATCATCAATGGATGCAAACTTGGGAGCTCCAGGTTCTCACGGCGTCCGAGCCCTTGAGCCTAGAGGAGGTATTTTGGGATCCTAGTTTGCTTATATTCGGAGTTTTGGGTGAGGTGTCATTGTTTATGCACAGCTCAATCGACTCCGATAGATTTGTGGGCTGCATAGCGCACATGAACGTTAAAGCCCAACAGTCACTTTCCCGAGGATGCGGAGTGAGGTGGCATGTCGTGTTCTTCTCGATCTATCTCGTTAAACTACCGGTGCTAGGTTCTTATTGATTTATTGCCTTTACGCCCTCCAGATCATTCCATTTGGGCCGTTGCAGGGGGTTTGCGGGGTGGGTTTAAGCACGGTAGTCAGGTCGACTGCGTGGTGTTGCTGATCGGTCAATTTGTCTGGTTCAGGAGTATGAACAACAGAAGAACTGGTTGGCCGGGGCGGACCGCGTCACATTCATTTTGTTGGAGAAGTCGAGGCTGCCAGCTCTCTGTACGTCCGCTCCTCTTTCTATCTCCGTGGCGGAACTGTCAGCGTCACATACGGTGACTACTATACAGGGGGATCGTGCCGTTTGCGATGCCGAGGTCGCAGCTATGATTGGGGACGTTAACTTTTATCTCATCCCTGATCCTGATTCGGATCATGACAATGCTTTTGAGGGTTTGTTACTGGTTTCAGGTCTCGGTTTATTCGCCGTTTCGCTTTCGTCTTGCCGATTGTCCTTAGTAGATGTTGGTTTAAGCAAATAGATATATGTATAAGATTGTCGATTCCATAGTGTTCACAGATTCTGTGGTGAAGTGATTCAGCATGAGCTTCTTTGCCCTCAGTGCATTAACTTCCTTAACTAAATACGATTTAACAGCTAGTAATATGCATGGCAGGAACATGACATCTGTGTACGGAGTCCTTATCTAGCATTTTGTTTATTGGTAAGGCCATGTTCTTGCTTCTACCGTAGGTGAGGTGTCTGTAATGATTGCGGAAGCGTCGTCGCGTGGCAAGGGTTTGGCGGCCCAGGCATTGGCTGGTGTGCTACTTTACGTCGAACGCTATTTCGTGCGCAATGTGACCGCAATAGTAGCCAAAGTCTCCCTTGACAATGAGCCGAGCCTGAGGTTTTTCAAGAATAAACTTGGGTTTGTGGAGCGTAGACGCAACGCTTGCTTCAATGAGGTATGTTGAGTTCCTATTTGAGTATGTCACTGTAGATCGAGCTTGTTTGTCCCACGTTTGAGACCGAGAAATCCGCTGTTACGCAGGCGGCTTCAAGGGCGATTGAGCTGCTTGAATTGTCTGGTCGCGATTGGCTCTTCCGTGTTTACCCCATTAATAGCTTCAGGTCCTGTGTACTTTATCCAGATAAAAACTAAATGTATTTACATGCTTGCTTCAACTTGTTTTATTTTATCTGAGGCCTCACCTTATTGGTGTTCTCAGGTCCTCTTTCAAAGTACTGGTCATAGATAATTGGTTTTCCTGCGAGGATTACTGCAAGCAGCAAATTAATACCATCTCCAGGCAATTTTTTTACCTGAGTAACTAGATGTATGGGTTTCATTGACTTTTAAACACGAAAGTACGTTGGAGAGACAACGCTATCGTGATTGTAAACACCAACTAACACGATTATTAGGGAGAGGTCGTGGCATCAATCCAAAGGTCGACTGTGGTACGTAGAACTGCAGGGGAATATTTGTTTGTTGATTTCTGGTGAGCTCAATTTCAGGCATTACACACAACAAGCGCTGGCCTCTGATGCTGCACAGTTGTCGGAAGCATAACTCTTGGTGTGCGTGTCCGGTTTGGTGCCGTACACATGGGCGGTAGATTTGATGGTCTCATTTCTGGCGGCGCTCCATATTAAGAATACTTGTCGGAAATAAATATAAATTACAAATACTACGTATGGGCTAGAGAGTCACTGCAATGGCGATGTTTTGTTTAGCTTAGTGATGGACAATGAAAACGAACGGGATCAAATACCTCGAGACCGAGTCACAAATTTCTTTAATTTGTATACACTTGAAGGTGGGGTTAGGGGGTCGAGGAGGAAGCTACGGTGATGGGAAGAGGGGATTAGGAGAAGGGGTTGCTTGGGGTTGGATGTGCATTTTTCGGCAGTAGTGAAGAATGTGGTTTCTGTGTGAGAGTAAGTGCAGCGGAGTAGCATGGGAAAGCGCGGAGCGGTGAGAAAGCACAACTTATCCATCATTGGCCCCTCCACTGACGCAGCCCGTTATCTCCTGCCTGCACCCGTACTCGTGCGGGGAGGACTGAGTCTTCGATCGATTGCGTCCGCCGGCGCCCAACTGCGAGGCGAAGCGCTGGTCCGTAGCGTCCACGAGGCTGGTGATGGAATCCTCGGACACTCGTGATGTCTCCTCATCTACCATCGAGGTGCCTAATGGAGCGCTTTTTCCACCGCCCGTCCCTGAACGCATAACGCTCCGCTCACCACCGCCAATGTTACTTATGGTGCTAACGTCGCCCTGGTAACCCGATCCATAATCGCCCATACCACCGCCGTGATGTTTCTTATGAAAAGGCTGAAGGGAAAATCTAAAAGCAATGAAAAGGTGCACTTTACCACCATTTTCGTATACTAGCATAATGGCAGATTTTTGCATGCGCACAAATCATTTTCGTAAAAAAACGGCTTGTGGTTAATCGTACTTGAATAAATTATTTTTAGTTAGCGCTGGACCATAGAAGTTGCAGAATTATTTTATGCAGCGGCACTTCACCACGAGCTACAACTAATGCTCCGCATTGGGGTTTAAGTTATAATGTGTTGGTTTTCAATTCTTGAAGAAAAATGTTGTCAGATCCGGTAGGTAAAACGTCAGCGTTTTTGTACAAAGTTAATACGTCCCAGCATTCATCAAAGATACCTATTTTTGTCACCAAAATCACGTTTTGATAAGAGACTACACTAGTATTCGGAAATGTTACGCAATCAGACATTGGGAAATGGATAAGGGCTTGTGTTTAAGCTTTACCATACTAAGTCACACAACCCATGTACTGGGATGGAAAACCAAACATTGATTTCACAATGCATATATGTTTAAATTTGGAAGCGGGACTTAAGTCTAGGTGTTCAGATCCAAAGTAATATAAAGAGATAAATGAAGGGGGGGCGATGGGAGCGAAGAGAGGGGCTTACCACCCACATGATGTAACTCACCGGCGCTGCTTGCGTCCACCGCGTCGTTTGCTGATGTGCGGATTGTCACGACGCATTGCCTTGGTCTTGTAGATCTCAATGGCCGTATAAAGGCGCTTCAGTTCTCGCTGAAAAGACACATACAACAAGAAAAATCACTTCCTTAATGGGCAAATATATGCGATTAGGATAGGAAGACCTATTGAAAGTTATTGCCTGGTCTCTAGGGGCAGGTGGGTATGATAAATTGACGCGATTAACCGCCCAAAGAGTGGCATACATGTCTTGAGGGCAAAGAATTGGTAACTCACCCGAATCACCTCGGGATCCATGTCGGCAAGATTGACGTCAGCAAGGTCAAGTTCGCCGTTGGAGGCGAGACGGAGTTTGTTGTTGGAGGGAACTAAGTGAGGCGCTGCCGACGCTCCCGGAACGGCACCCACCATGCCCCGCCGACCCCCGCTCACACCCACCACCATGCCTACTACCTGTGGCGAGGGCGGCCTGTGGATGTACCAAAACTACAATTTCCAAGAAGAAATGTGCGCTTTACGCTAACCCTATAGTTTTCCACCTCTCCATAAACTTTACCTTAAGAAATTTGGATTTGCGAAAGGAAATGTTCCTTACAATGCTGATGAAATCGGTCTTAGAGCATAATCCAAAGGAGATTAACATATTTTAAAGCACCAGTTAAAAACAGAGCCGGAGTAAATAATTTTCTCAGCAGAGAACGGGTCAGGGTGGTACGATTTGAAATGAAGTATTGATCCCGAGGAGTAAATAATAGTTTAAGCTTACGCCTGACACCCAGTCGACCTATAGTACTTGGTATCTATCATTGTGAGATAATGACTGTTTTACTTATTCGGCAAATGCCTCATCCGAACCGAATTGAGCACGTGGACAATCAAAGTGTTAATCAACAAACGATGCTGTGGGAATAGAACAAATCTATGACATGGTGTTTATTTTCTGTTATCCGTTAATACGCGAAGTGGAATTCGATATCCCCAAAGTAGATTCACTTATCCAAATAAAGTTGTGTCTTGATAAGTGACAGCTTTAAGAACGGCGCTTCAACTATATGATAAGTGGCTTACCTTAGGGGCGAAAATAATCGCAATATTCACGGTGACCGTTAGATGGCATCTTATGAAGTAAATAAGGTATATGACGTCCGGGTGTGTGGAGTACCAAATGAAGTGCCTAAAAAAGATCATGAGGCAGATTCAAGAGAGCTGTGTGTAGAATAGAACCGAGTCAATTTCGCAGCAAGTAGATTACCGAGTAAGGTAAAGGGTCCCAGAGCCAATAAGTTCAGTTAAGAAAACGATTGTTATACACCGGTTTTCATTGTATTCTGAGGGCGCAGACCAAATAAGACGACAGTAATGCACGCCGGCCAAAAGAATCGCCATTTCACCTGAAACGACCAGCTAAGAGTGTTTCTTTTAATGCGAAAAAACCTGATTGTATACAAAGTGTTGGAAATACAAACTGTGCCGATTTGGAAGCTATTGTGATAATGAGAAAGACTTTTTAATTCAACATATTTTCATCGAAGTACACCCAGAATAGCACTTGAACAAAGTGTATGATATAATCCACTGGATTTGAGACTCACACCAAGCAGTAAGTATACGCCAGGAAAACCTTAACATTAATTGTTTAAAATCAATTAGTAATTGCCATAGCGTTAGTCCAGTCCAGGCCTACCGAGTTGCACAAAAATGTCCCAGGACATGGCACGGCATACACGAAAGTATTGGTAGTGCACGCTGGGAGCCGAATCTTTCATACTCTTTTTTATTCCCCCTTTCTGCCACTCTGCCCCCACTTGTGCCATCTCCGCCATCGCTAGCTCCTCTCCATCCTGCCTAATTGAGGTCAGATTCGTCACAGTGTTGTTGGAGAGGAGCACGAAAGTGGAGCAGGAGACACAGCCGGAGGTAGCGTTGTGGGTGGATGAGGGTGACTGGGGTGGAGGTGGCAGTGGTGGAGACGGTGTAGGTCGCTGAACCATCATCTGGATGCGACCCTTCACCAAAATGTCATCGACCATGGGCTGCTGAACCGTGAACATGGTAGAGGCGGCGGGCACGGTGGAAACACCTACGAGGTTGCGAAATCGTGTATAATCCAGGGTGACCGCCGTCCATGCTAGCATGTAACCGATGACGATAGCCACAAAGCACCCGAGGTACTTGAAGAGGTCCTTGTCACGTACGTGCACTCGATGGGCCTTACGGGATTGGAAGCAGATCAGCACTCTGGTAGAACGGAGGAGAAGGGAGTTAATCTGAAGTTTGTATACTCATTATTGAAATAGTGGAATCACTGTTTACAAGCACTTAAATAGAGAAGAGCGTTTGCCCAACCAGGATGGAAGAGCCTTTACTTTTGTTTAAAAAGGCAGGAAGTATAACCTCAAGCAAGTCAACCACCACCAAATTTAGGTGTTTTACTATAATAAAAGGTTCTCTATATCAGAGGCACAACACTCGGAATCAGGAATATTTGCTAAAATGGAGCATGATGGGACTAACAGAGTAGTTTTGCTTATTAAAATAAGCTAATTTCGTGGACAGGGTGAAATAAGAACGGTCTTATAATGGCTGCTTACCGGTACAATTTGACAATCAGCACACCGTACATGAGGGCAAAGCCGACCTCCCGAAACCACGGCAAGAGAATACATGTGGAACTGCTTGCTCGAAAGTACATCACAATGCTCTAAAGTGAAAATCACGTTTCGAAGTAGACATTTCTAAAAGCATACACGGTTATTTGTCGAATCAATCGGCAGAGAATGCAAGCGTAAACGGCCAAGGTTTTATTAAACAACGTTCCATTTTCAGTGGTAAATTATTCACCGACGTTATTATTTTTGAGAGGCAAAATGCCCACGGAAAAAAAGACGAATATTACAATCGTATTTCAGATGAATGGGAGTGGACTAAGCTGTTTGAATTCAACCTTTTCTTCATACTTGGCATCGTTGGACTCACCATCCTAATGATAAGCACAAACGGAAAATAACGCAGAATAATTCTGAAACACTGATATTCCCGATACATAGGCATTATAGTACTGGAAAACTGACTTTCACAAAACTCCAGTACGATAATGCAAACGATATTGACAAAAATAATGCACAAAAATAGCTTTCCAGCGAAGAAGCCTATTAATTATAAGAGCTCCTTAGCGGATATAAACACTTTGAGTGAGGGAAATGACTAGAAATTGTTTGTAACTAGACTGGTGTCTTTTCCCTTGCTCAGTAGAATCCGAGAAGGGGAGAGACCTGATGTCACTCTGGGTCACGCAGAAGGGTTGACCCTTTTTCTGCCTTGGAAACTAGCGGCGAGATAACGCTAAATAGTTGTTGCGTGCATCGCTTATCAAAACATTAAATCTTCGCTTGAAATTCGGGTGTTTTTCCTCCCTTTTTGGGTCCTAAAGTGATTTTGAGAAGAAAGTTAACCTTTTAAGTGAAAGGAAAGCTAATACCCACCACCTAAGACAGTAGTTTAGAAGGGAAGTTATCGAAGTGAATGACCAACACCTTGATATCTCATGCCAGAAATCATGTCATAGAGCCATGTTCATAAAACCATATAAAAGCCGACCTAAACATTTTAAAAGAGTAATTAGGGACAAATGTATTCAACATTAAAATGTTCTTTTAAGTGACATAGTTAATCTAGTCAAAACCTTTCAAGGAGAACTATATGATATCAAGTATTAAATGCCACTACTCAAGTAAAAAACACTGTGGAGATATCATGTACAGATGCACGGACAAATCCAGGATATTTTGGATAATTAAAAGTAAAAGGAACTCTGCTTTCAATGCAAATGCTGATCCGATTGCGAGGACACATGTGTAGGAAGAAAGCTCTAGCATTTCCTGAACAGTAGAAGAATATATTATTACACATATGTAATTATACGAACTTATACATTATTAGCGCCATTATGAAAGAAATTATGATAGACACATTCCATACGATTTGTTGAAAAACCACTTAATTTTGCATGCTAGCAGTTTTAATTAAAAGATGTGCATACTCTTTGCATTGAAAGGAACACCATTCGTTTCCTTAAGAGAATCTCAACACCATTGAAAATACGGCTCACCGTAGAGTAAAGGAGTACGGCACCAAGAAGAAAGATTTCCAAAAACTTCCAGTTAGCTGCTTTGAATGCCTGGGAGACAAAGAAAACGGTTAACTTATTAATTATGATTTTGCGCACTCGTTTCGTATGAACAAGCAGGACATCAGAAAAAATAAGAATTTAATCAACAGCTTTGTGAAATGTGAATTGAGGTAATTTCAGTCAATAACCCATATTTAAAAAACCATTCTCGTGAACAGATGCTTCAGTTTTGCGGCAAATAAAGGCCTTATTGTCCCGTCTATATACAAAGCTAAAGTATAAATCAAATGGGATTTGGTGTAACATCTTTGTCGTGGCTAATTTATTGAAAAGACTATTGGCATTCCACACAAGGCAAAGAGTAAATGTTAGAGAGATTCCCCATCAATAAGAAACTGGCCTTACAGTAAAATTTCTGATTATGGAACCCATCAATCAAAAACTCATATTCGAATTTCATCCTATGCATCATCAAGCACTTTCATTACACCACCATCTACTTGCTTTAATATGTCTGGCGTCGGAAGCCAACATTAAAGACAAAAGCGGAAAATACCGAAATATAGGTTTACATATGACTAAAGTCCTCTTACAACCATCTCCTGAACAACAATCTCGCCCGAATTTCAAAGGTAAAGACCTCTTTGTAAACTCGGATGTGGAACGCGAAAAAAGGGATATAAGAGGGGCTAACACTATGCGAGGCGGACAAAAGTTGCAATGTGGGGGCTGTTTATGTCCCGAAGAAGCAAAGCATTGAGGTGAAAGCTAGGAATCAACATCTTTACAAGGGAGTAACTATGCAAAGCAAAACATGTCAGTGTTTTATATTACTTCTAAACCAGAGGATTTATGTTCCGGAAGAACCAGCAATGCTCCGCGTTAATGGTACTAAGGTGGGCATTGCTCTGCATTTGGAAAGAAGGATCAAACAGGAAGCAGCAATTATTAGCAGCCGTTCACAGAGAGACAGATGAAACTGCTGTGAGTACTCGAGTGAGGTGCGTATGCGTACAAATTAAAGAGAAATACCTTAAATCCGAGGCAGTGGTAGTACGAAAATAATCACCAAACTGGTGTCAAAGCATTATTTCCCAAGTCTTCTTTTAGATATTGCTCATATTTCCCCGAATTCTACCCTACCGCTTAGAACAATGATACCCTTCAAAAGTGTTGAAGGAGTTGCACTAAGAGATCGCATAAATTAACTTTCAATTCATCAAGCTTTGTGTGGCAGAGGTCGATACTTACCGGAAGTACAGCAAATAGGTATTTACTGATGACAAAAAGGCACATTTCCACTCAATAGTTCTTATAAAAAAAAAGCATCAATGGCTAAAGATGCGATTCTGAATATAATGAAAACACTAACTCAGAACGCTGAATAATGACACTCCAAAGAGAGCAAGTGGCTACGGAGACAGCTTTAAAAAGTAGTGTTTAAAACAATGAGGGACAAAATGTTATAGCATAAAGATCTTCAAAGACAAAACCAGTCGAAAAAGGAGCGCTTCAAACCGATGGAGCTATTAGTATTGTTCATACATGGAATTGGTTTCATCGAAAAAGGGTAGCACCAGCAATCCATCGGCCACTATAAATGCAACTAGACAACATAAAGGTAGAAAGAGGGAGTGAAAATAGGCCAAAGGATCTAAGGCCTACCCGAGTGCGCCGGAGACGGAAGGTGAGGACCCCAAGGAGGAGGGTGGTGGTGATGGAGAAGGTCTGTATGGCTAGAGGAATGCCGCGTAGGAGGTGCATATTGTACTCTACGCCACAGGGCACGCTTGAGGTGCAGTTGGGACAGTCGGGTGGACAAACCTTGCAGCTCATGCGGTCCCATAGGCCCTTCGCCTCGCCACCAATGGCACCACTGGCACTGTTCTTCTGCGTCTCTTGCATATACAGCTCCGCCGGGTAGCCCTAACATGCGATAAATAAACCGAATAATGCGGCTAACTTTGTACCAATTAAATTTTTATTTGATTTTAGACACAAATTGCCGCTAAATTTAACAATCCATATTAGTAAAATCGTTAAGATTCAAGCTACCTTCCTCTACCTTTTCGATCTCAGTAAACACGAGTACCACAATAATGGTCTGTGATGAAAAAAAAACTAGCCAAAAACACTCCTAAAATTACCCACAAAGTACAACAGAAGCCGAGAATTGCACCAGCGAATGCGTTACTTACGACCTCATTGCCTAGATATTCGAAGATGTTTCTGCCTTCAAAAAAACCAAGCCTTCATTCTCCAGCGCCACCATACCATTATAATAAGAGTCTGGGCATCTGTCGCATAACCTCTCAAACAACATGGATGCTACGTGGACTGGAAGTGAAGTAGTTTTGCTTACATCGTAGTTAAAACCAATAGAAATGCCCCAGTACATGATTGAAGGGTATAGTGGAATTGGAGGTTAAGGTGTCATCGTCTTCCACACACAAATGAAGGGTCGCTCCATCACCCGCAAAAAACGTACGATGATTGCTCAGCAAATGAAGAGTTATGAAGACGAAAAATAGGTGGAAATCATTCTATAGACACTGACATAAGGCGTAGTTTATCGTGGCAGCTTGTTCTAGGATGAAGACGATTTAATTTTGATTAAAAGTTGATTTCCCTGAGGGACACTAATACAATAAGAAAACTAGGAAATACGTATCATTAACAAAACAAAAGAGGTGAATAAGTGGAGACAGAAAACAGCCACCCTGCGTGGAGCCAAGTTCTATTGTTTTATTGACACGAAATTAACATGAAACACATTAGTGCTTTATTTTTAGACCAGACAAGACCCATCTTATTCACTCCTTTTCCCAAATAACAATAAAGTTGACAATTTCTAAAAAAGTACAATCGCGGAGGTGCTAACATGGCCTTGTTAGGTACATATTAAACTGATAAACACCTACATTTTCCGGCCGATCTGTGTAAAAACCAGGTTTGCATTGACAGATGTAATTGGCAACATCGAAGGCCCATTCCTGGTATTGGCGGTAGACGCACTACAAAGTCCGATTGAGATGAGAAAATACACCATCACCATCAGTGATAATAAAACGGTCCAAAACCAAAAACCCATTTGAGTGGGTGGATAAGAAAGATACTCACCTGCGTTGTACTGTGGCGGCAATAGTCAAGTCCAACAGCACAGAGATCAAGGGCTAGGTTGCGGAGGTCGAATTCAAAAACCAGACTAAATCAAAAAAAGCCAAAAATGACACTTCATGTGACTTCTATCACACTTTCATTTTTAGAGCCCTGATGTTAACAGCGATGGGATTCTAGGTGATGTAAGTTTACAATCTATGACTTTACGCTTAAAATGCACACAATCCCTAGTTTAGTTGTAGGTGGGATGGATACAGGGTACTTATCAGGTTCTGAGCAGAATTTTATGCTTCCTAAAATACAATTCTACATTATCCACGTGCTAAAGACGACAGACGAAAAGATATTTTGTTGCACTAGTTTTGAGAGTGAAATCAAGCACAAAATCATGTGTCACGTCACGTTGAAGTACGTTTAAGATAGCATTTCAAAAAAAGGAATTTCACGTGTTAAGAAGGGAAGGATTGCATACACCTAGCTTATGTATGCTTAGATGCAGCTGTTAAAAAATTGCGTATATTTGAAATTACTAGCCGAACTTCTCGGGACTATTTATTGCTAGTCTGGCTATTACAAAACCTCCGAATACTTGATTTAAACATGGACCTTCGTTTCCGTCACGCATATGCAACACCAAAAACATACCTTTTTAATTTTGAATGGTTTTGTTATTAATTGAGTGCTCTTATTCCGCATTGTTCAAACTAATCCACGCCGGGAGACACGTTCTAGGACCGACCCAAAGCAATTTATTCGATTGAGGAAAATATTATTAAAAATGGGTTTAGACGGAAGACGTACGTTTATAAAGGAAAGGAAGATTGTAGGAACAAGTTCTCTGTTGATTTTGTTAATATGATATAAACCACATGTAAAGCACTTTGTTCACGCATTACTGCAGGAAATTATCAACCCCTTTTAGCTACCCATGCAACAGTCTATGGAAGCACTATTCCATGAGTCTGATTGGTAATTGTACCACCGACTTCGTTATCGAAATCACCTTTCATCGGAGTATGGCTAAGTGTTTCGAAATGCCTAACAGCGTGGCATGTCTGGTGCTCTACGATTTCTGATCTAACGAAGCTTCCGGAATGGAATTGTATGGATTTAAGGAACAGTAGTTCCTTGAGAGACATTTAATCAAACCATCATTAAAGGTTTCAGAAATGTTAATCAGACGCATTTAAAAGAAACAAAGGCAGTCATAACCCAGCAGATTTGGTTTTTGTAGATCAAATATGAGATTTTTCGAAGAATTTAATGGTCTGGCTGGAGAAAACGCTTTATAAACTAAGGAAAAAAAAACAAAGGATGTTATTCAGACAAAGAGAAATAAATCTCAACGTGATTTATCGCTAATGGTGAGAACTTCTTGACAGAAGTATCAAATAAAACGTATGCATTAAGATAACTCAACCAAAACAGCAATGATGAAATAATGATGCAATACAACTTGAACCATCTCTTTATGGAATTTACGCTTGGAAAAAAGTGTTTTCCGGGTACTTTAAATATGACACGAATTCAATGAAAGTTCGACCACTTCAGGTACTGTTATTGGCCTTTGAGATTCACAGGAGACGTCCTGATCGAAGCATATAGAATAATTAACCGTAGCATCGATCCCAACCAACGAAATCCACTTTGCCCCACTTTGTTAGGTCATAAACTTATGGCAATAACTGGACTATAACCTTAAAGTGGAATCCCGCCATTAATTATGCCAGACATCTATTTTTTGGGAAACTAAAGTTCATAGCAAATCTCACACCATCAAAACAGAGATAAGTAACAAGGCATTTGCAATTTTAAATAAACTCTGGGGTGACTTAAAACAATCCACAGGGGTGAGATCAACTGGCCTTAACAGTGGCAGAGACCAATGGAAAAGGTGGGCTTACTCGAAGAAAAAACTATTCAACATTAGTGATGCATCCCTGTTTCATTCGACTTTAGTGTCTCCTTCGTAAAACAAAGGTCTTTAACAAGGCTCACCCTTCTGAAATGGTAGTTTAGAGTCGAATTCCCGGATTCATAGGCGTGGACCTCAGATAATCCTGGCGTAAATGTGTAAAGGTTTTTTCACTATTTTTCCGCTAACATTTGAAAAGAGTCTTAAAGCTTTTAACCTCATAGAAGACAAATTTATGAAGTGCTTACAGAACCCATGACCTTTCCTCAGTTGACAGAGGATATTGCCTCTGTAAGGGAGGCCACCTGTCAGACTGTCATATAAATGAAGGGGCAGCCACGGAAATAGTGGTACAAATAATTAAAAAGCCAAGCAAGAGAGGTCTCGCCTACGTCGAGAAATAGTGACATCTTTTCGTTTGATTTGAAATTCCACTTGCTATCAACAGGGACAGATTTTGCCTCCACCATTTCGCCAATTGATTTGGTTAAAAACAAAAAAAACGCATGAAAATAATGCTGGATGGATTAGAGACACAAGGACTGAATATTGTCTAGATGCAAATGCACTCAACTCTTTACTTGGTTATGCTACTGCACAATAATTATCCCAAATCTATCACAAAACCTTTTTCCGACTTTTTGAACGCGACGGAGAGCGAAGTTACTAACAGGTAGAACCTTCAATTAGACGTGAGAAAGATGACGAGACATGGTTGAAACAGGCCAAAAACTGACTCAACTTGCTAATAGAGTCTTCCATTAAATGGGAGCAACCTACCTCGCAGATTTTGTATGCGGAACCGGGATGATCAGATGAAGGGGTATCTTTTTTCCGGGCATAGAGACACCGAAATTGCAGTGCAGGGGCGCCCACACTCCAACCATTTGAATGGCCGAGGAGATGGGTTTAAGAATGGAGCCCTCTAGTATCGATGTCATAAGTGCACAGAGGTTGCCTGGCGGTCTGGAAGCAAATCCCTCCACGTTAAGAGTTGATTTTTCCACGTACATGAGGTGCCCACTACCCATACAGATCGTCACACTATTCACCGCGGATTCATCCTCTTGTCCGCCTCCCCTACTGCTCCTGGAATAGTACGATGATGTCTGCATGAAAGCTCGCATCAAAGGCCCCAAGAAGTTTTCAAAATTCATATTCCCAGTCGCCCCTTCAACCAATATAAGGCCCTTTAAGGACAACCAGTTGATTACGAGTTCAGCTAGTGAGGCTGCTCGAACAATGTCCCACCGGTAGGAGTTGTGCAATGCTACGGGCGTGACAATGGTGCAAAGGAATTCAGCATAGTTCCGCCTAAACGGCAAGAGGTAGGAATAATTTTTCGGAGGCAGTTGATTTGCTTCTAACTCTGCAGAAATCAACAAATCAGGGCAACCTGAGGTCGGACTGTGAAGAGTCTTAGCGATCAGAGAGAGAAGACGTCGTGACTCAGCACGAGAAAGCTCCCGGTTATTGCAGTATATAGGAATGATTAAGAGCATAAAAAGGAGTATAGAAATAAGTACACATTTTAGAGGAATATATATTTTATTGGGAAGAAGAAGAAGAGACATCTCGCAACAGTGAAGAAACCTCTATAGGGGAAAAAATTCCATGATTAGTGACTGCAGCGATGTCATAATTGCTGCATTTGAGCAGTCCTGTGGCTCTCGCCCAGCTGATTTAGAAGAGGGAGATAGAAACAGACTAAAAATTTCCGATTTCAGCTTAAATCGCCTCGACCAATCGCCCAGTCCGCAAAAATGAGGGCAACCACGGCGACCAATGAAAGCGTGCCATCCCGCGGCGTTCAGTCTGAAGTGGTCGATAGGATGCAAAGTGAGGGTGCATGCGTTCTGGGCCTTGCGCGTCGCCTCCACAATCCATTTCCCCCATTCATGAGTGCGTATGCCCGCTTTAACCCGCGCCTACCTGTGTGTGTGCGGCATATGAGAGTTTTTTACTTTTGGTGATCGCTAAATGACGATCGAAACGAGGATTTAAAGACTATTATTTCCCATTGTCTACACCTAAGTCAGTGTCTACCTATTCGGTGAGTAAATACATTTAAGTAGACACAGTCAAAAAATGAGGTTTTTTCTTTAATTGATCGAAAAATTTAAGTGCTCGGGTAAAGGCATGAGAAGGTTTGTCTCTGTGACGAAGACGAAAATAATAGGTGAGCAGTAACTCCTCGCAAATCTGATAGCAGGGAATAGGTCAAGGGGGGAATCACCAAAAATTACATTATTAATAATGATGACCCAATCGTCCATTCAGTAAATTACACATGATATCAGAGGTAATAGTTGAGTATGACAGCTCTTCTACTTAATTTATTAGGCAAAGTGCTCAAGAAAATGGGTTGGAGATCCAAACCCGCTAGGAGAACTCCAAAACGTTATGCAAAGCATTTGCATTTTAGCCATAATGTCGAAATGGATGCATTCCTTATTCAAGAGCGAATCCTTTAGTGCATTTACCTAGTCCGACTAAAAAGTGACTTAAAGAAAAGAAAATTATTTTAAAAATGATATGGAGGTAAAACTGTTTCTACTCCGCTGCTAGCGCCTCACGTAAAACGTGCACAGTGCTTTCATACTAATCTTTAAATAATTCAAAGTTAGAGTTCTTTTACGACCAACGCTTGTGGTCTTCAAGGCTGATACTGGAACCGAAACAAACTGCGGATAGAAACTAAAATATGCGGGAAAAACGGGAAGCTGTTGTTAGGCTAGGAGCAGCTTATCATCGGTATTATCAATGACCATGGTAGCAGGCGGAGACGGACATGTGCATGACTGTCAGCATGGTAGTTGTGCCGGCCAGGCCAGGTGTTTAGGCGGTTAAAATTCCAATATAATAGGGCATAGCGATATGGAGTGGAACGTTGAGTGTCTTTCTGGAGAAATGATGAATAAATGTGAAATATTGAGGCAGATAATTATTAAATAGATACAAGCAATCTAAATCAAGTTTGAAAAAATAAATAGAAGAATCAGAGAACTATGCGATAAAACTAAAGTTGACCTAACCACTGTTTGTTAAAGTCCGAAAATATCCGATATCTTCTGGCAATTTCTGCTTGCAGTTAACTGACAAAATTTGTTGCATATTGGCAACAAAGCAATCACGAATCGGATGAAGACTGCCACATCACCCTACTCCACCCATGGGTCCGAAAGATGGCACTCGCTTGTGGTAGTAAATGATTGAACAAAGGAGTTAATGGTGTCTGTATTACACACAAGATAATGTTTTGGAGTGTTCAACACTTCGAATGTACCCTTATTTACAAAGTTATTAAAAGTGTGTATATTTAGTGCAAAATAGGTTATTAACATAATTGATTCTTCTAGGGAATAGTCCAGGAGAAAGATCGTGCAATCACTGCTCCATATTCCATTTCGCATCCTATTTTTGAATAGGGGGTTAATGTCGCATTTTAACGTATGCTGTAATCTACATGCCATTCCACGGCAGAATCACGTGACTTTCCTGAAGACGAAGGTAGGTATAATGCTCCCACAAAACATATGCATTAGGCATGCTGTAGGGATTGGGGTTACTGACATGTCTCGGAGGCCGGCCTACCTAGCGATGGTGCAATGGTGAAGACCCAAATTTGGTCTCTACCAAAACTAAGAGCTAAACAGCCATCGTATTACACCACTGATATAAGATTGATGGGGTCATTTTCTTGGGGATTATAAGCATTTTGGAAGGAATTAAAATCATTGTCTGAAGTGCGTAAAGCAGAAACTCAGCATGGTAGTGTAGTGTAGCGAAAATGTTCCACAATTACCCAAGATTTGGCTTTATCTGTAAATGCTTGGCCCATGTATTTAAAAATAAGCCCTATCGACCCCTCCTACTTTTGAATATGCTCCAAATTAACTTTGAAGGTGTGTCCTATCCATTTTGAAATCGGTCACCCTAAAACGATCTTCACGAATGGAAACCAGTAACTGAGGCTGCAGAAGAGAATCAAACGGTGCCACTTAAGGTGAGAACATCGTTTGTGAAATTGTGCTCCATACAATTTTTCAACATTGTTACGGTAAAAAAAACTATCATGAACAGTCCATCCAAGCAAAGCCAGCTTAGAACATTGTAACAAAACTAAGACGTGACAATCTTTCCCAAGGAGTGTGCCATTCGTGTACCTACCTTGGTAAAAAGATCAAAGGACTTACAAAAGGACCAAACATAGGTACTTAATTCAAATGCAGATTTTATGGAACTGAAAAATTGAGGTATCACTAGCATTTACGATACATTTTGAATATAGACTTCCTGATAGTTTTCAACAGCACTGGCAACCGTTATGAAATGACAGGGTGTCCATAAATGTCACTTTATATGTACCCCACCATCCAGATGGGTGAACGGACCTAGCCTTATTCAATGACTAACGGTAGCATAAAAGAGTATCGACTATTGCCGCTGGCCAATCAAAGGGGGTCATTGGACAACGGAGAAACCAGAAATCGTATCTACAACTTATCTTCTAACACACGAAGATTCTAGTACAGCTAATACCTTGCTGTAAGTAATTCAATAACAGAGCGACAATTAATGAAGAAACCAACTCTTAGAAATAAAATTAAGAAACGTGTAATTGACACATTAATTAATTCCAACCTTTATTTATCCAACAAATAACCCTGTCCCAATGTTGCGACCGACGTCAACAAGTATTTTAGCATAGTTCAAAAATCCGAATAACATCTATGCGAATCAGCTTTGACAAGCATAGAGAAGAATAACCTTGATTAGGTGAACTCAAAGTTATCACGACTTTCTTGACCGAGCCAAATGTTGTTGAAGAGATCAGAGAGAACACATTTGATGCAAGTGGAGGTGTTCCCTTTTTCCCACGTTCCACAGTAAAAAACTGCATAGCGTTATTTTCCAAATTTTTTTGTCAATTGCACCTAGTCATGAACTTCAGTCACCACAGTTTGAGAGGGTCATAATACATATCGTTCCTCCCACTTTCACCACAATAAACACAGGCTTCCAGTCTTGTCCACATGAATGTACACCCTCTAATTGCGGTGGCAACGACGTCTTCCACTGTCGCCTTAAACTCACCAGTGCAACAAAAAGCACAACTTCTCAAGGAACTATTTAATGATGGTTCAATGGGCTAGCAGGCATAACAGAATATTAAATGTCTAAGTTTTGCATTAGTTTACATGAAGCAGCAACAGGGCGATCCCTTTGGCTTGGGCTCCTAAAAGTTGGAAAAAAGTAATAAAATTAGGTAATTGATATCCGCAATAATTAATGCAGGAGTAGGCCAAACGATAAGAGGCATCTATGACACTCGTGTACGCACTTAGTGGTTAGAGTAGGTTTATCAAACAGAACAATTTCATGGCTCATCTATAGATTTCTATCTTTATGATTGGAGATTGGAATATTCCTGATGCCAGCAGCTAAGGCAAATATTTCAAGATTTAACTGCTACTTTAGCTGGGCATCAGAAGTAAGCTTGAAGCTTTCTAAAATATGAGTCGAGAATTTTACTAATTTGAGAATACCAGAATCCGAGAATTTTTCACATTAAAAATTTACACAAAAAAGGGTTGAGAAGTAGCACACAAAAGAGTCACCAAATATTCTCCCGAAAAAGTTGGCGCTATTCCATATTTTTTGAGATAAATAACGCCCATTTCAAGCAGAAAATTTTCAGATTTGAGGGATGAGTCTGCTGGGGATGACTAAAGGCCCAGGCAACCGTTTCTCTTCAGACTTCTGGAAGCGTCTATTCTCGTGCCAGCATTCCGAACACTTTAGAGAGTCGGGCCACGCTCATTCCCGTCTGATTGGTTAATATCGCAAGTTGATGTACTTTAAGTGCACTCATGATCATTCTAAGGCCAAGGTCAGTCAGGTATTATAAGTCCGCGTGATTGAAACAACCAAGTGACTTGAGTCATCATGCTGGCACACACCGCCTGCACCTCCTTCGCTTACCCATACACGTCGGTGAGAAACATATATATGTACTAAAGTCTTATTTTTTTATCTAGCTGGCAGCTCGAAATGATTCAGACCACTCATGTCAGAAGAGGAAAAGGGAAAAGTTGATTCGGTTATTGTGCTAAATGCGCATTTATCAAATACCAGCTCAACTGCTTACCAAATTTCCTTTCCATCATTCATATTTTTTTATACTGGTGTGCTTAATTTTACTCGACGAAATCACCATCTCCTCCTATGCACCCTTTGGCGCCAGAGTTCGGTATTTACAGGAAGGGGGAATGATCTACTTTCTCGCCAGTAAAAGCCTCGAGAAATTGGACTCTGGTCAGGCACACAGCCCAAGTGACCTATGTGCTGTTACTTCATATAGACACTACACTTGTATTTTAGAACACCTAGCGGAAGCATCTTGGATTCCGATGTTGTTTAAGGAGAGGGGAGCAATTGAGTTGGCATCTTGAGGATTGTGTGATGTGTGAGTAGAGGAAGTTTGCCGCACTTACTGGTGGAGGTGGCACCGGTATGTCGAGTGCTTTGGCAGCGCTCACGCAGAAGACCTCATTGACATCTTTTTGTCCGGATTTGGCGGAAGCCTCAAAGTACACATAACCGTTCTGAGTCGCGAAGCTGCGAGCAGTCTCCAACTGTACCTGTCGTGTCATGTCCTTCTTTAGACCAACCAGCACTTTCACGCCTTTTAGAGGCAGTCCGGCATTGATTTTACTAATCCAAGCTGAGAGACCGTCGAAGGATGCTTGACTAAAGAAAAAAGATTTGTACGGGCCCGCTTAATCGATTTTGAAATCGATCACCTTTTAACATGTCAGCTTATCCTATTAGCTAACTTAATCATTGTGACGATAAAGGCGCTTGTTTTTTTGGTAATATTAAGTGGATTACTGAAGTTGACCACGAATATACGTTTGTGATTATGATTTGTCTGCTACCAGGATATTTTCAAGCCTGAAAACCAACCGAAAACCACTTGGAATCGCATAGCCGGGGTAAGATTCTCTCAGTACATAAACAGTAGGACCCGTCGTTGTTTCAAAAAAGAGGCTAACTGATAGCGCCTGTTGAGGCAGTTATTGCAGGACAGTTGTTACTTATCAAGACAGGTGGTCGCGTATGGGTTGATATACATGAAAAGTGACGACGGTAGTCCCCAAAAATTGGCATAGGATATTTGGGCAAGTGAAAAATCGAATCCTCGATGGAACTTCTTACTAAGCGAAGCTCCTGCTTTGTGCAAGAAATTGAAGTTGGAAGAAACAGACAAAATAACTGGGCTTCTGAAGCCTGTCAAGGGATGCAATGAATACTTGTTCTTTTTTCCGTTTTTTAAATTAAACTTGGAGCACTTCCGAGAGGTGTTTTTTTATTTAAATATGTCTATGGAGTTACGAAGAAAATCAATATTTAATTTTATCGAAGCCATTGTTTATTCAATAAAACAGCACGGATTTAAAGATGCTTACAATGTTGTTAATATTATAATATCACCGGATTAAATTCACATGAGACAAGCAAAGCGTATGGCTCTTGCACAGGCCAGGCCTCTCCTCTATAGCAGAGCAACTCAGTGAGCAGGCGAATGCTGATGAAAGGCAGGTAACGAGTCACACTGAGTCAAAAGTTTATGCTAATGCAGCAGTGACATTCACCCTAGATTTCATTATCCTTAGTCAAATAACAAACAATGTGATATATTTTAGCGGTTTTATCTGTAGATTTCATCGACAACTTTCGTTTTGATTCAACAATTCCTATCCGTAGTTAGCAAAATTCCGACTAGCAATGCCTGAGTCAACGCAATGGACCCGAGAGAGATCAGGTGCACGAATATAAAGGCGGTGAAACAATTAATTTTTTACCTAGTTACGTCGAAACAGAGAATGGCTACTTCAATGCCGGCATAGACCCCCGCCGCTAAAGATTGATATTCAGGTGAACCCGGCTAAAAATGAGGAAAAACTCAGAGGAAATTATTAGTGTTGGGTACTTATGATCAACATAAACGATTTTTAAAAATAGAAATATTTTGTTTTGGAGAAAGGCACTTTATTAGCTTTATCCCTAATAGCGCTTAAACTTTATTTACTAAAAACAAATTCCCTAAATAAATTTCCACCAGCAGCTTAAATGGTAGTTAGTCGAATCAGTAAGTTAAATAACAAGACAAAATTACTGTGTAAAAGACTGGACCGAACTCAAGGTTCGGAAACAAAACCATAGTAAATCAAGTAGAACATCAGATTTACATCTAGCGAGTTTCCAACCATCTTAAAGCAACCGGGGCATTATTCTCATGTCAGCACAACAAAAACGCTTCATATAGGCTGCTTTTCCTGAGGAATAAGTGTGGATTTCTTGGCAATCCCTTTAGATCATCGGTTGTGGTTATATAGACAAATAAATCAACCGTATGAGTCGTTAAAGGGGCGCGTTCACTTTGACAACTAGAATGTTGCTACAGTAAGGGCAGAGGAGTGAGTAAAAATGGCAATGCTACGAAACAAAGGTGCCTAAGCGGCAAAGGGTAGTAGTAAAGCTTGGGAGCCTCTAATCCTGATGCTAGAGGAAGTACTCTGCAAGTTCCCTCATAATTTAACATTGGATCCGGTTTTTCTTCAAATGCTGTGCTTTGCTCAATTTTTTGACTTTCTTCCATGGGAAAATGTTATAAAAATACGCAAATTCCTCTTTAAGTAATGCCTTGTGAACATCATTACACCTGGATGCTGGAGGTGCAGCTTGTGTTTAAACAAAGATAGCTGCGTTGCAAATGCTAACACCTTTTTTAATTTCGGGATCACTTTATAGATCTAAATAACAGCTTCCTAAAAACAGTAAGGCATTGAGTCGATTTATGCAACACTCGAACTGACAAATTGTTTTTAAATCGTTCTAATTCACAAAATTATGACAAGGGATAGATGGTGCTTACCACATCGTAGATTGAAAATTTGACTGTATTTCCGTAGACGTCTGCGTTGCCTATCGGCATGTTAAGAAACGTGGATGTGGTGGTATTTTGAAACTTCTTATCGATGAACCGATTCACTAATGCCGTCTTCCCGACACCTAGTTAGAGGCACATAGCAAACAGGTATCGCGTCAGTAAGGAGTACATTTGCCGCTGAAGCTTAGCATTACATGGATTGTCTTGTTGTGGTTCTTCTGATGGGCCTAATCAGCACCTACCTTCCACATTGATCCGTAAAACATTTTTGCGTATGGTTCAACATTACACGTTCTAGTTCAATACGCTTAGTGGCACCGCTACTATCCGTCTCATTAACTATCACCGTTTTATCGTCACGAAAAGAACTTACGCATTAAACGTTGCTGTTATTTCAATGCCAAAAAATCCGCAGAAAGCACTCCGATTTGTTGAGTGGATTTGGGCACTACTACACCACACAGTTGAAAAGAGTTGTCAATAAAATGTGACGCTGCTATTTACAGTAAGCCTAAAAACTCACCAAATCTGTGAAATAGTTCACAAGTAGGGTGAAAAAGATTGCAGTAAATTTAGTAACTTTCAACGGGTTCCCTTGCTTAGTTGACCGAATGGAGGAAATTGGTACTTAGGTGCATGCTTTTGCAATAAATTAATGCATTCGAATAAAGTTTATGCTTATTACTTTGCTTAAAGTCAAACGTCTTCATGGCATCTTTAGGTGTTGCCAAGAGAGCTTGCACTAAAAGAGTTTCCGTTTACGTGTAGCAACATGTGGGCTGTGAACTGCACGCTTTTGGTTTTGCTGATGTTTTGCACATTGAGTTGCTGTCATCAATCATGCTCGGATTACTAACATTAAAGGATTTAATTGGTTATCAAGTAATCAAAATTACCAGGCCATATTTCAGATATAACAGACAGAATGCCTTTCATTTCTCTACTATAAATGAGCATGTCGACAACTATTTGCGTCTCCCTCACTGATTGGTTTGTCGAGAATGGTAAACAACATATAATCTCTACGAATACTTTTCTTTAAAGGCAAATGCTATCGACTATTCTAAGTTTATTTGAACTTATAAACCGATGAAGATATGAGTACAAATGAAAAGCAATGCTCATACGCCGTTCGGTTTCATGGATGTCACATTAATTACCCATGATGCTGTTTAAACCCGGAAGCTCTTGGGGAAAACCAGTAAAACTTTTTTTTTTTTTACAAATCAGATCACATCTGTAAGCACAAACATACATTTCACTGATTTCTACAGTTAATATTAGGCCTAGTTTTGCTCTTGAAGTTCGACAAGGAATTATACATAGGCTAAGTTGGTAGCTTGGAATATTTTTTGAAGGCTATTTTTAAGTATTTCTAAGGACAATGACGCGGATTCGGATAAAATGGTGAAATAAATATACGTTGCATATCATTCATTCTAGGCAAAACAGATAAGCAAACAGTACCTCAAGCCGGATGCTCAAACCGAATAGATCTAAATAACACTAACAGGTATAAAGAATTTGAGGCTGTGTAGTAATCGAATGAGCTGGCATTCAGCCTAGCTCCCCAAATTCAGCCCTTTTGGGTTTAAGTCAAACAGTGGATACAAAAACATAAAGCCTATCCATATTAAATGGTATTCATGTTTAAAAAAATAAAAGGGAGAGAGTGCTTACCCTTGTCACCAAATACACCAACGTTTACGGTCTTCCCCTCTTCCATTTGCCCGTTTCGATTGTGCCTGCTTTGTCGTGGGTACTGAGTAATGCTAAAGCGAGCAACTTAATGCTGGAGGCATCTTGAACGACGGCATTGTCACGCACTCGCGGTTGTGTGTGCGTGTGTGCACGCCTGGCAGGGTTTGCCAACACCGCTGAGTGGCTCTCAGTGCCAGTGGGTGAGTGAGTTAGCTGGTGTGTGTGTGTAGTGAGGGTGGTACGTAAATGCTTAGGTTACACCACAGCTTGTGGCATCTCCATGTATGCTGCTTGACAAAGCAGCTCACATACTGAAAAGCATCACTATCATCACCTTGACTCTATCCTTTGCTTTCTTTCAAGCACCCAACCACGCCTATAACTGACATGACATGCTATATTGTTAACGGGAAGCTTTATTTTATCCTATACTTGTCATGAAAACCTGTTTTTGTAATTTAGTATTTGGACCTTACTAGCACATCAATCATTCGTTAGCACAGCTGAGGCTTGAAACTGAAATCGTCAAGTGTGAGCTACACAGAAGAGATAGTGACCTGCTTCCAACTAAGCTGCCCAACCCATCCTCTCGATATTGTCAGAGGTGGATGTTGAATTATATTTGATGCATATCCATATATTGAAAACTGACAACTGACAACTAGGCGGCAGCATTTTTAAAAATAAGTTGGCGGAATTATCTAAGGAAAAGTTATGAATAGCATTTGGTAAATTTAAGTAAACTTGTTACCGTAGTGCTCTGATAGTTTGTTCAATTAACTATTTGATTATGCAGGCACCCATACAAAATTAATTCCATCATTACAAATATTTCAATTTCGGTTAGTCACCATGTCACTTCAACTTATCTTTATCCCTCTTTTTCCGATTTTTACAGGGACAATTAGACTTGCATTCAAGTATTGCCCCTCAGTTTAAGATACGGAGAGGTAATTTGTCGCACTAAGAAAACTTAAATAGGCGCAGACACAAGTAGATATGCTCGGAGGAATTTTACCTCCCGACAATTTTGATAGAGCACTCACTGAGTCCATTCTAGCACCCTTAAGGATTGTCGGGGATACAACCCACGCCTCTAGAATGATTCATCGAGACAAAAACTTTTTTATTTTTCAAAAGTCCTTGCACAACTTGAATCAATTTTATGCTATAAATAAAAAAAGAACTCGCAAGCTCTCGGCGGCATCACTGTGGGGCGCAAAGTGGGCCAAGTGTCCTTTAGGTCTTTTGCGCTCAGGTGTTTTTGCAAACCAAATCAACAGTTTTGACTAGGAGATCCACGGCAAAATCTACCCCCTACTAACAAATGCACGGTAGAGGCGCCTTATTCGTGTAAACGTTCTGCTTCGGTATTGGCCTCACGGAATCACGCAGGCAGCACCAATTTTGGCCGCACCGAAAGCCAAAGTTATGCCAAACACTACCAATATATTCATAGTTTAGATGTGACAATTTAAGTATTTGTTGCATTCATTCCGATTAAAAGATAGAATTTACCCCCTTGAGGACCGGAAGGGGGGGAAATATTTCAAGCTTTAATTTTGATGAAGTTGGAGAGACCTTAGATGGAACAAATATCCAACTTTAGCGATTACCTTAAAGCACTGTCCAACTTATTCACAAATCATTACCACTGGGATTACTCTCTGGTTCTTTTAAAAATAAACCATTGTTACTGCAGCACTCATTGTGGTAATAGCAAAGTGTGTTTAAGATTCAGCATTCGAAAGTGCATTAAACAGCACGCATGGCTGGGCGAGATTTTGGATTTTACTGCTATCAGATGAATCCAAACTAATTCAAGGTAGATACGCATAGCAATTTTCATTTAAAACAACTGACTGAAAGTCTTAACGAGGCCTTATAATCATGCGTGAGATCATGAAAGTCCAGCAATTTCCATTAGCAGTCCCGTGTGCTAACAAAAGTACTTAACAGCATCGATAAAAGATTAGCAGATAAACGTAAAACTGGTAGAGTCAAGGTCTGTGGGGAAAAGTATCTTGTCGATCAAGAGCGTCACCTATCATCCTATACTTTATTGCAAGAGGAACTCTGTTAGGGTATTCAAATTACTAAGATCTGTATTGTAGGGAGACTCTGCATGCCGATGGAAATATCGCGTGTGAAGGTACACATCAGTATGTCGTCTTTTCAATGTGGGCAAAGGAGTAAATCTTTTGCAGACAATGAAGAAAGCAGGCCAACCATGCATGGAGTCCAATCACATGAGCTAATGCATTTCTCAAGTGTGTGCCAAGCTAAGGGCATTGTAACGTAGGTGGACTCAGCGTGATCTTTTGACAAGCTACAAAACATGGAACGTAAACGAGACAGGGGCACACAGGACCAGTATTCTGTAGCCAAATGAAATGACGTGGTGTCTGAGTGGATTAAGAGCCAAAAACTGCGAAAAGTGGGTACTTAGAACTTATTCATTTATTTTCTTCCAAAAAAGTAATAATGACTGGACATATATCTTTTAGGGTGGGGAGGAGCTCAAAATGCTTCATTCATTCGAGAATGTTTAGGCAGGATTAATAAACGAATATAAAACTGGAACAAATCGTAAGACATTTGGTCCCACGTTAAGAATTCTCATTCGGTTTCCTCTTTACAGTACCGTTCCAATGTAACGCATTTTTGGCTACTTTACTTTTGATCCTCTATTGTCGTTTTGTGACAGTCGCTTAGATTTCCTGACAAATTCCCTTTATCAGCTCAGATTAGTCAACCGAGGCACTGATTCTGAGTCGAGAATTCTAGTCATTGAAACATACAAGAAACCTCATGACCTTAGTAAGGTAACTTTCAATAAGAGCCACCCATGACGGATAAGGTACCTCTTTATGCAGAGCAGTGTGGAACAGTAAATAACCCTTGCAAATATCCTCGAAAGTGGGGAGGAAATGACAACGTGAAATACTTAAGGAGTTAAGAATCATGTTTGTCTGCAACATTTTGAGAAAAAGAGTGACACGTTCCAGAGCGAACGCACAGAAGAGATTCGAATGCGGTTTTCAGAACATCTATAAACGGCGTACTAGGGTAAAAAGAGGTTGCTCGGAGTGAAGGTGAGGCACATTGTCACGACCACACTCCATACTACGATGACATTAAACTACTTCCTATGCTCTCGTCTTACATCCGCATTCATATCTGCGATTTACCGGCATTGGTCACGGAACCACCTTCCTCCCATTGATTAAAAACCATTCCATTCGTTAGATCCAGAGTTACTGAATACGCATACTCAAATCGATGTGAACATATCAACCAATACGCCATCTGCGCCTCAACGCCCACCTTTGGTGTGAGTTCAAAAGAGCATCGCAAGGAATGGCACCTTAACATAAATGTGAAGCTTTCCCGCAAGTTGTAGTAAGACATTGCGTCTCTTTCCAATTAACATTTGCTGAACGGCAAAGCCACATACCTTCTTAGCCGAATTTATGTCAGGCTACCACTTGAGCAGCCATGCCCAGCAGTACTGGTCATCGTTCTTTAAAAACGTCCTGCCAATAGCAAACTGCCTTGTGAATTCATTATGCGCGATTGCAAAGCCCTGCATTTGCAATGCATCGGACGAACCTTTTATTCGCGGTAGTAAAGTCCCGTTCAAAAGTCTGTTTTAATGTATTTTTTTACCGTTTCCTCTTATCTTGATTAAAAGGGACTGGCAGAGTTAATTTCCTTACAATAATGACACAAAAACCAAAATGCGAGCATCATCCACAGCTGCACAACCGGTGGAGGAATTAACAAGAAGTACGCACCCAAACTATCCGCCCAGGCCATGACTTGTTCTGGGTTAGAATCTATGCGCGGTACAAAGTTCACACGTAACCGTACGAATTTTTTCGTGACCTTAAATGCCGCCGCTTAATGAAAACCTCCCCCGCTGTGTACACTACACAGACATTTTGGGTTATACTTCACCCAACACCCCTGACTTCGCTTCGGGTTTAAAAGTTCAGGCGGAAAACGTCATCACTCCCCACAATCGTAGGAATTATTCAACTAGGACACGTTCATTGAATTTTAAACATTGAAACCTTTCAACGCAGTGACATAGGTGGAAATTAAGGGAATTTGTACGCATTGGTAATAGATGCAAAGCAGTTCTAGAAAAATTACCGTACCTCAAAAATAGTGTTCACCATACCTATGGTACAAAACGATAGGGCACAACGTCGACCTCAGTAACGACACACCGGGACTGGACAGTTAACAAAGGCACTCCGATCTCTTTGTAGGGCAGTACATAAATCAAAACACCTACTTAGTCCCGCACATTAAAATGTGAGGATTACAGGGGTATACAGAGCACTGAATACGTCAACAACTACACCTCCCTAATTTGCATCGGAAACTGGCACCCACCGCTAATTGGCATCTTGGCCGATACAGTCTATACGAAGCAACAAACAGCCACCTCAAGAGAAAGTGATTAATTGGATCGAGGTGAGGAAGATACTTTAAACCAGGCGGCTTCACCCTGAAACCAACATCGAAACCACTCCGGTATAAACCGACAAACATAAACGGAAGTTGAGACAGCTCAAATCCAGTTCCAGGTGGTCGGAAATATTCAATCAGCGATCGTCGACAAACACCCAAACAGAACGTATAAGCAACATCGAACCCAGCTGACCGGAATGAGGATCTACAAAATTCACCACACCGACTGCTCTGGTTTGAAATACATAAGCAACCTGAAACCAACCGTTCAAACCAGAAGTACAAAGAGGCCTGTGAGTCCTTGTGACAGCTCATGACGGCCTAACTGGCAAGCCCACAAAACACTAAAGTACGACCAGATGCAAACCTAAGAAAAAAGTAGAATATCTTGGTGAGGCAACATTTAACCAGTTTTGTAATCTAGCAAACATGAGCCATAACGTTTACTCCTACCCACGGGGCGCCTGCGAGATAAGTAAATTCATGGCGAAAGCGACCAGCGTCAACAACACATCGTGCACTGTAGCAGAAATGACCCAGCTCAATGCACAGGCACCGCACCCAAATATCCGGGATAAAAGTGAAACAACTCAAGGGCGACACCCTTTGGAGCAACAAGACCAAAAGTTATATGAAAGCAGAAATAGTACAGGAAATTCCCTTGAGAAGTCAACCCTGATCGTCTAACTAGGTCCGGGAGTATGCAATGTATATATGTACACATGCGGCATGCCAACCACACACACACATAAGCATTTACACTTAAAGGGAGCGCGTAAAAGCAGACAATGAAAGACGGGCCGGAACTCTAATGCAGAAGGTGGAGGGGCAACAAGACCGGTTAAAACGCCGAGCAGCCCTAAGCATCGCTTTCCTTTGGGGGCGACGAAGAGGGAGGGGGGGCTTCACCAGCTACGGCGTTAGTGGAGGTGTCTTCAACCGCATTTACCGAACTGCGAAATTCCAATATCTCGATGGCTTGCTGAATCTCCCGCACCGCTGCACGTCTTGCCGCACGAACGCTGTCCTGACCATCTACGCCGATGCCATCCAGTTCCAGGATAAGCACTTCCAAGGTCTCCATAAGCCGCAAATAATTCTTATCACCCACGGTACCTAAGGGAGTCAAAATCTACGATAAGCAAATGCCTCCCAGTAGTGAGTTAGAAATACCCCATCTGTTTGTGAACTAAATACTAACAGAGAGCAAAATCGTACAACATTCTTAAAAATACCGTGGACATGAAAGGCAAGCGGTGTGACAATGACATGCCTACTATAGCTAGTCCAAAATCAAGAAAAAATAGCTAACGAACAAAATAAAATGAGTTCTCCACCTTTAAGGTGACACAACTAACCAGGACTGCCACTATGCACACCGAACACAGTTTGAAGACAAACCTAGAACAAGTGAAGGATACTAAGGGAATGGCCGATGAGGTGCGATTTCAGTGGGTCCCTTAAATAAAAACGTTAACAAATCAAGACCTATTCTCGAAACATCGAATTCACAATTCTGCTTTCTATCGCACAAACCGCATCTCCACTGCCATATACCAGGGATACTTTTAAGCAAACTGAGTTCTACAAATGTAAGAGGGACAAGAAAGTGCCGTCATAGCCAGCGCTTAAATAAACTCGGATGATGAACCGAAAACAATCATTCAAAAGGCAAAGTACAAGTACATAGCACCAAAAGATAAATTACCCTTAAACGCATCCACCTCTTCGATCACGGGCCTGGCTTTCTCGAGGACTTTAGTGATAAGTGTAATACCACTATCCTTTTCCTCAAGCTTTTCCTGGATATTTGATAGCTAGAGGGCACACGTAAAAAAGAACAACTAATTACTTGCGTTTGCTCTTCGGAAGATGTTGGCCCCTGCACAACCAAAGGGGTTGAGATTGTGGGGCTAGTTTCATTAGGAGCAGGGGACGGCTGAAAACGACTACACATATTTTTGGTACTAAGGATGGGCTGCCTGTTAATGGCGATAGGCGTAGCCTGATTACCGTTCAAGGCAACTTGAGGTTGTGAATGGGCAGGCCGATATATCAGTTTGTTAATTGGGTGTTGCCATTGTGTACGTTGATTTTTATGGTCTATGAAGTAGTAGGTTTTTGTCATCTCATCGAGACGCATTTCCCAGCCATCAGGTATGGGATCAACGTGAGGCACCGACATATCAAGACCGCTCAATGAAAGAAAATGCACGAAAATTAGCGCGAAACCCTGACTGAGTGTTGTGCATCTTGACCAATCAGATGGTAGAGGTCGCAAAGTTGTGTTCATTATAATTATTAGTGTTTCCAAAGGCGTTTAGCAAGTTATACTTTATACAATAGAAACAGCTAGTTAAGGGCATAACATGAGACGTTACTACCAAGTATCTCTGTCAGACAATTTTGAGGACAAATTACCCAGTATTTCCTGTCACAGCAGATAAATGAAAACATGAGGGATGGAAAGTACACCAAATATTCAATGATTTCGCGAATGCACCATGGGGCTATGATATTAGGCCCACTTCAGATATTGCTTCGTTTTGGTCAATTTTCTGGGTCAGTCATTATAGTGTTGTTGATGTTTGAAGAACGGCAGTTGATGAGTCTTCGGATACGTAAGCAGCCATTTAGCTTCATTGTTACTGATGCGTCTGGGCAATTGCATTACGTCTGACGTCCCATTCATTTCGAGTTGCATTTGGGGCATAAGAAAGTCCTGGCTTCGCCCTGCCTAAAGTCGGGTGGTGCTCCATCACTATGTCATTCCGTATGCCAAGGTATTTGCAAGAACACTGACATAGGAGTTGAGCCATTTAGTGAAGAGCTTGATTATTTAAAGTAGTTCTACAAGCCTAATACTGTACGTCTATTCGATCTTGTCGCTTCTTCATTTTAGTGCTGCTCAGCCGTCTAGCTATGTTCTCTTCACATAGTGAAGAAGTTCAACAGCACTGTACTCAACTGATGCAGATCGTTCTGTGGATCCCGCCTCACTGAATATCATAAAGGAAAGGATCCAACCTGGCAAGACGATAGTCCGACAGTTGAAGTCGCAGAATGGGACAATTACAAAACCACTCTAGAAATCGTTGCTGTTGACTTCTGTGAGGAATGGTGTTCCAATTGACTGCCAATCTCCGAACACTTGAGAATCGCGCTCATGCACAGCCCCTCCTCATTGGCCCACACCAAGCGGAGACGTATTCTAGGTGTTTTTATAACTACTCGAAGGCCAAGGTCGAACACTTACTATAAATAGGTGTAATCAAAATCAGTAGCACTCACAACCTCGCTCCACCAGTCTCTGCTTTCCATCAGGCGCGTACGCTTACTCATTGCGTTGGTAATAGAGACATCTCCTCTGAAGTCTATCTGTTGGCTATTTGGTTGGATGCTCGACACTACCCAGGCGACTTGTGCACACAAACCAGTTTGTAAGGTATTGGCCGCATAGAAGAGGCGACTGATACAATGGCTACTGCCGTCTGACACCACTACTAAGTGGCTAGTTGGTTTCTCTGCTTGCCGGTTAGTTGCAGAGGAAGAACGCGGGGGAGCGGGGTTCTAGGCTTTATCTTCAATGTGGTGGTGACAGCATATAACACTGAAGGGAGGGGAGAGGGGGAGCTATGTTTGTTGGAATGAAATCTAAGGTTTAATCGTGTTCTTCTTCTGAGGGGGCTTCCAGTGCGGTGGAGTTGGTGGACTGTTTAGGGAGGACAAGGAGCGGACAACCGTAGAAGTGAAGAAGCACTTATTCACCTTGTCTACTTTCGTTAGATTTTTATTGGTGTTTTGGAGGCCCAAACGGATAGGATTACTCTAGTGATGGAAGGCAAACAGTTGAGGCGCAAATGTCTGAAGTCCGATCATGGTTCCCGAGTGAATGGTCGGAATGGAGTTCGACCGCCAAGCTCAACACAGGATAACGGTTGCGAGAGTTGTGTTCCACTAGAAGCTGCTGTGCTCTACAGTGTTGCAGCCTTGAGAATACCATAGGAGTTTTTGGTCGTGAGGGCATCAAACAATCGCCTTCGGTAGCTGAGAACCCGCGTAGAATACTGCAAATTGCGTTGCTACATTTCGGAAACGAAAGTACAACTCGACCTATGTAAGCCATGCTCACGGATTCAGCAAGTCGAAGGCTGTAAATAGCAGAGGTGGAGATCTCCCAATTAAGAGCGGGTAGCAAACCTTTGGTGCATCGAACACAGCGCATACAAAAGTGGTAATGAACCACACCATAAGCAATTGTGTAGAGGGGTTGAAGTCACTTAGAGATGACAGCAACGGAGAACCATAGCACCAAGGTGTGAACCGAAAATTCACAGACCAAAGCGGCTGCACAGTCGATGGGAAATTGATAGTATCACCGTTCCGCCGCCCCCACCACCACGTATGCTCAAAAGTTAGTGTCATTATTACAACTCTACGCATTTTCTATTTTTATTTGCGTATTGAAGATTCGCAGAAAACACAAGACTTGTTAGTATTCATTTTACATTTCAAAATGGATTACAGTAAATGCAATAAAGGTACGATATATGTTAGCAAAATAACAATGTTGTTACCAAAAGAATATTGATGTTTCTACTGCCAATGTTTCCCAGGACCACAACGATCCCTTTAACGGCAAGTATACAAATAAAATGAGGCAAGGAGTGCGGATACTTAACAAGCGAAACCCTTTCGAGCATTTCTAGTCTTCACGACGGTCGAGGATAAGACAGGATTGTTGCTATTTACGAAGGAGATGGCAGCCTTTTTCAGATGCTGGAGATCGTTTTCATAACGCTGGAGTCGGCGCCGCACCTCCTCCTCGAAGAGATAGGTGAATTTAGCGCGGAAGCGGGCGCACTCTGCGTCGATCACCGCCTGGCGTGGCGCCTTCTCGTAACCCCCGCCGTGCGCCTCTACCAGGCGCACGAAGGCGCAGTCAGGGCAGTGTGCCTTGTGCTCCGCCATCGGATCCTCCTACCAACAACAGCATAAATGGAATAACTAGCAGCATTTAGTGCACCTAGCTTAGGGATCACCTCAATAGTTATTAACAATACACTGCTCCGATAGCAAAAACAAAGGTTAAGCGGATAGTATCATTAAAAAAAAGTGAGGGAAGAAACTGAAAGTTGTGAAGATTTGCCTAATAAATGAGGGGTATCTCGCGAAAGCGACGAACGATACCAATAGCTGTACTAGTTTACAAGAAGCGAGAAATGCCCCAAAGAGAGTTGAGGCTGCCTCACGCAAAGGTCAACGAGCTAGGAAATCCTTAAGGGTATTTACACACCGTTAACTGTTCATGATAAAACTTCACAAAGTAGATGGTGGTGTCTGCAGCTTGGAGCCTTTTTACAAATAAGGCACTACGGAGCGGAATTCTAGCAAGTCTCAGATTAGTAGTGCGTCAAGAGCAGACAAATGAATACTCGGGAGTCCGCCTCCATCTTCTGCTACAAAATTACCGGCCCTGAGCGTGGAAAAAATTCCGGGTTATGAAGTGATTGACATAATTGTCAACACTTTGATTAAAGATACCACAACCTGGAGCAATTCGTCCCTCCTGATAGTGGATAAAAAATGAAAAACTCCGAGATTAGTACTAGTAATTAAAAATCCTTCTGCGGTACTTTTATTTGTTCCAAGCAGAACACATCAATTTAATTTCTTAAAAACTGAGCAAGATGTGATAAGCCCTAAGCCATTCCTATGTCACACGGTGGTAAATGGTATACTTCAATATTCGGAGACCCACTTGACACCAATCATGTAAATACGCTTCTACTGTTCAAAAAAACAATGCATACAATTTTCAACCTGACTGTTCAAGTTAACTACTTAATTGCTCCTTTAATCTGGAATTTGAATGCGGATAAATTTAATTGGAAACAGTGCTCATGTGAGTAGGGAGCGTTTAGGATGAAAAGCCAAGTTATGCAATATTAAGCAGCATCAAAAGTAAAACACGAATGTTGTAGACTCACGTCAGAAGCCCATCCATAAAGCAATTTGTGGCAGACAAAACATTGAACTGAGTCCTCCGATACATCGGGTCGGTGATAAAATCCAGCATCGGCTAAGGTTTGAGGAACGCATTTATCTTCAGGGCGCGTGTGAGGCCATTTCTTGAAAGTGGCAATGCGGCCTGGAACAAGAGTTAAAGGATCTTCAAGAAAGGGTGACGGCATCTAGATAGAGGGAAAAAACACCAAAATGAAACCATTACATGGAAAAGGCAGTTAAACACCTAAAAATGAAGGGTTATTTCTGAAAATAATGATGATGCCTTTGCTTCCATAACTGAAATCACTGAACCCGAATGATTGAGGCAGGTAAACAACAAGGGGGCAAAGTAAACACAGAGAACATAATGCCAGGGAAAACAGCAGGGCCATAAAGCTGCTGCGATGTGTAATGGGTAGCACATATACATACGAGTGACTAAATTGCACAAAGTCAGAAACAATATAGCAACAAACATTCGTACTACATAACTTGTGCCAAGCACACCCCCAAAAACAGCAATGCAGAAACTCAAAGCAACCAAAAACAGCGAGTGGCGTCTATAAGTGTTAAAATAGGTAATGCCACTCGTTTTAGATCTCAGAAATGTAGTAAGAACTGCAAGACGAATCAAATAGCAAAGCGGCTTTGAAACCCGCTGTTGAATGCTCTCCCCAACCCCAATGTAATAAAACAATCCTTGTTAAAATATTCGGAAACTTTTATGTTATGCTAAATTCTGACCCTTGACTTTCTACATGTACAGGGTATATGAGCTGAATTGGTCTTATTCTGATGCCATTAGCGTAGAATACAAGTTTTGGCGCGAAATTGTTAGCTATATACGACATAGAACGTGGATTTGCACCTATATTTTGTTGAACAAGTATCGTACTTGCATTATTTGCCACCTGAAAGATCTTGTCCTAATGTTTCAGTACATCTTAATGCATGAAAAATGTAATGTAGCGCCCCGTGACTTTCCTCAAGATGAATGACAATATATCACTCTGGCAGAACATGTATATTGGGCATTCAGAAGGGACTTAGGCTATTGGCATGGCCCGAGGGGCAAGCCGCCAGGAGAAGACACCAAAACAGGGAGTTAAACGGGTAACTTATTATAGTAATGAACTTTTGTTTGGAGTTACCTTTTAAGTGGCATAAGATCAATTTTCACCAATCTCATGGCTGAGCAGGCTCCTCTACCTCCTAAGGGGAAGAATATCACCGATCTTCCATAAGCTAAGATAATTCATGAAAGTCCCATGGGACGCAGTGCACTATTTGTGCCTCTAATCAACCTTTTAGACTCAAGGTGGTGGAATTGGGAGTACCAAAATAATAGGTCCTTGTTGCACCTTTAGAGCCTTTTTTACGGCCACTGCAAAAGCCGGGATAACCTAGATACCGATTTTGAAGAATGCTTAATTATAGTGGCCCAACTCGTCATTTCACAGGAAGAACAAATCTTAGAGAGTTCATTCATCATAACCGAAGGACGGGGAAAGGCAGAAGGAAAATGCTAGGATTCTGCAGGAACTTGAAACACACTTTTCACGAGTTATCCTTAGCTATGTAATGCTTTTTTCCTAAAGCCTTTGCTACTTTCGACTTCAGGACCTTGAATCTAGGAGATTGGATAGAGGAAGAAATCGTGTTTTATGCACTGTGAAAATTTTATGATTTGTTTGAGCTTGTTGAGGATCAGTGTCGGTCTTATGGGTAAGGAGGCTTGCTCAGCCGTGAGGTAGGTGCAGTCTGACCGCTTGCCATTTATCTAGGATCTTCAAACAAGTAATAGTATGCTTTCCTTAATGCATCTATAACAAAATAAAGTGAACATTTTATTTTTTTGAGAGTTGAGAGTTTCCCTTGAATCAGCGATAAGCCCTACCACAGTGGAAGAAGGCTATTAAAGTACACAAGGTCTAAAAGCTTATAGACATCTAAAAGGAAATGCGAAATGTGAAGAATAAATGGTTTGAGAGGCTTACTATACGCTTAACCAACTACCAAGGAACTATACACGATCCAACTCAATTAGTGTACCCTCGCTTCGTTCACCGTGACCATTCGCTACTAAAATTCCTTGCAGTCTACTAGGCATTTGATCCTAACATCAGTGCTGCACCTTACTGATTGCATTGTAGAAGGATTTTTGTCCTCTTTGTACACTGCATTGAGGAAGGAGATTGGGTGGCTTTGTACTGCCCAAGACTAGACAGTACTCTACTGCGATCACATGTCACGCACCTGTTGACATCCACAGGAGCAATTGCGTAACTAATATTACGTAACCCCTACCGTGCCCTCTTTTCAATTCAATGCTTCTCACCAGTCTATCCGGCTTCCGTCGGCTAATAAGGAATTTAGGTAGGTATTGTGTGCGTGCGTAATTCGCGTATTCTTATAAGATGCCAAATGCAGGGCCGTTATGGGCGTTGTAAAACTACCAAGTCTACCATTATCTCAGTTGATAATGGTGTTCCGGTAAAAAATCAACTCTACTTCAATAACGCTTCTAACGGGAGTCCCGCAATTGCCCTCCTGTAGTGCTAATTTCTGGGTGTTTGTCCTTTTGCATGGGGTTCACCCTCCACTGCCACCAATGTAGAGTCGCTAGCCTTCCAGAAGTTAAAATATATCATACCAGTATAGAGGAAATTTATTAGCATGCAGGAAGGCCGGGAGTCTTTAAGCATGGTTTTTCGGGCATGGCATCCAAATGGACCTACAGGCCACAGACAATGAAGGGCCAAGAAAGGATTTATTTTGCCTAGGCTAAAACAAACCTTGAATAAACCGAAATATGGGTTTCACGACCCAGGTATCCTACTATTTATCTCGCCTCTACCGGTATGAGATGTCATGGTTGTTAATAAAAAACAACTTGAAGATAGCACATCCAGAAATAATGAAGATAACATCGACAATGCATTCTGACATGAAATATTTTCACTAAACCTTAACACCTAGAGGTAAGATAAAATGATGTTTGCTGCACACTTTAGTAATGAAATAAATCGGTTTTAATATATTTCCACATATAACGGTCATGCGCACTCCATATTTCCTTGTCTCAAGGGTTCAGCAGCCGTTCGGGTTCAATGGAAATTGAATTTGATTAATACGGATCAAAGTTTGCATGGGAAGTATATTAAGTAAAAGAGGGAGCTTGGTCAGTAAAACGGTATATTACGAGAGTGAGGTAAGCTTAAGATTAAATTAAAATCTATCTTATTTTGAAGTAACATTTGGTACGATTTGGAAAAGAGAAAAGCCTATCAATCTCTAAAAATCAGGGATTCGATAAAACCGATAAAAAACCTTTTAATTGCATGAAGGTTAAATTTTCCAAGACGCTGAAATATCCCTCCGTGAAAACGACTTCAAATAATGCCTAAGTGGAATTGGATATACATATGCATAATATTACCCTATTTATACGAATACATTAGTGAAAATTTGTCCATATATATTTCGATGCATGTATATGCAGCACCTGAGACCTCTCTAAACGGGAAAGAAAGTGTAATAGCGAAGCAGAACATATCATCAACGCACAGAAGGATTTGGGGTCACCAACATGGCTTGGAGGATTGGCCACTTGGCAAAGCCGCAACCGATTTAAACAAACATCCAACGTATAACACAGCCCCTCTCCACTTTTGAGTACCATCTCCAGCAATCCCCTAGTCAGCCATCACAGTGTAATGATGCTGGAAGAAAAAGCTCACCACACAACCGTGACAGTCATCGAATTTCCATGCAAAGGAAGAAATGTCTTCATTGAGGTATGGCAAGCAGCCCCGTAACACATTACCAAATACTCATGGCTAGTGTCGCTTCATTTGTTAATAGCATTCCTGCAGACCACGGACTGGGGTGGTTGTCGAAGGTAGAAGTCATTTTCAGTCCCTCTATCATGGGTATTCACCGATTCCCCCATCCACAGCCAATGCACTTCTGCTGCTCCACTAAAGTGTATCGCACAGTAGTAAAAATGAGGATTGATGACCTTCAAGACCGGGTTCGCATTCCATGCCACAAATGCAAAGCACCGAGACTTGCCCTAAGACAAAATAAGGCATAATAATTGAGCAATAAATACATTGGACATAGAGTGGGATCTGGGGCTGTTGGATTGGGCTTGAGGTTAGACACCATAGCGGCTACCCAAAGTGGCCCCCTTGCCACAATAGAGAGTTAAACACCAACGTATTACAGGATCATTTTCTGTTCAAGACGCAGCATTTCTTTGGCTATCCTTAGAAAATTTATCGAACGTATTTCGGTCAGCTTCAGAATTCACTTAAAGTAGGAGGTCTTATTTTACCGAAGATTACTGTCCTCAAAATCGACTCAGGCAACATTAGAAAGTGAAGAATTTTTAAGGCAAAGTGTGGTTTGCATTATTTTTTCTTTAAATTGAAGCGATTTTAGCATTTTTTTTATATTAGCCAAGGCTTTAAATATTTCCAAAAAAGGGATTTGCGTTGACAGCCATTATACCTCTCACTAGGCTCTGGTGTTAATCAGGTTACTGCTGCATAAAGCTTACTTATATTGTTCCATCAGATCTGCCTCACTTCACTCTGCATCTATAGATGGTAACGCAAAATGAAGTGAGAATAGTTACTTGATGCTAATTTCATCTTCTTCTCAAAGCATGATATTGCTAAAGTGTGAGCAGGGAGACACAGAAGCAGCATCTTCGGCAACTTCTTTAATCCCGTGCGTCACACTTGCTGTAAATGACGCTGTATGGTAGAAAGTGAATAATGCAGAGGCAGCAGCAACTTATGACCACTCCTATCTTTGGTAAAAGTTGGAAATAAAGGTAAAGTACTGCTAGCGTAGTGAACTTGAGAAAACACGGAACAAATTTGCACAAAACTTACCAAAAACTAGCACTTAGGTAGCTTAATTTCCCCTTTATTAGAAAAGAGAGCGGTGTAAGCGATAAACCCAATGTATGGCAGACTGCCCAAGCACTTACAGCGAAAAAGCGACTATTGTGGAAAGCCCACTCAGCATAAAGATCACGGAAGGCATGGCTAAGTTGATCATCCCCACAAGGACAACACCTTTGTGACAAACTTACCTTGATCAGCTCGTCTTCTCCTAGGTGCTTGTTACTTACCATCACCACAATCTGAGAGCATTGCCAGCAAAGAATTTGCCATTTCCTGTATCATTGCAAAGAGGAGATGTTTTGGACGGTTCAAAACCAGCGTTTCTTAAAAGAATAAAAGGAGACAATTGGTACACATTAGAATTGTCAGCCCCAATGGAAGGCATTTGTGCGTAGGTATGTCCTGTAGTGGGTGATTGTCGTTATTCACTTTGTTCTGCGTTAGTAGAGCAAAAAAGCAACTCGTCTTTAATTCGCAAACAGTGTGGCCATAACAAGGGTGCATTCTAGGGCAGACTTCCAGATCATTAGTTATGCGTCCGTGGTGTCATCCTTTGGCATGTTTTAGCATTCTTTTGCCTAAATGTGTGTAGTCCGGTTGAACGAGCAAGGGCGAGTAAAGACGTCCATTGGCAACGCATCAATCAACAGCAGCGCTGGCGATGCAACCCGTCCAAGGCGACTGCTGGTAGTGATGAGGTGAATGGGATGCCATCAAGGGTCAAAATTAGAAAAGTGCGTCCACAATAGATGGAGGCATTGCATATATTATGCAACTAGTTAGTTGGAATTAACGTCGAATCAATTTGAGGTAAAAATTCTGAGGTCGACCCACCTTTAAAAAGGTGCCAAGAATTTAATTTTCCCGTTTGTTTTTTGTGCTTCGTGCGTCTGAATAAATGTTTCTCGCTTCAAGCAAATAAATATTGCGCTAGACATAAAACTTCTTTTAAAGCACACACTTTGTATCAAAAGAATCATTATTTGCCTGATTAAAAATCAAAGACTGTGTTTAGCATTGCATGGGATAGTAATCTAACTGAGGATGGGAGTCGGAATTCCAAATATCTGCATGGGATGCGCTGAAAAGGCGTATAGAATGTTAAATTTTTAAATCCCTAAAAACATCTCAGATTCCTAAACAATATGACAGATAAACAATCCCGTCTTTAATTCAATAGGCCTGCTGAAAGCTAATAAAGGAATAATTGAAGATAGCAGGAATATATGTTTATTTTGCATACAATTTCCCATCTGATTTTGGAACCCTTGCAGGATGAAATGCGTTGCTTTGTTGATCAAACCAAGGTGTCCAGTGTCTGAATTATCACCGGTTCGTATTTTGATTTTAAGTCCAAATCAGTAGTTGAAGATGCTCCGAAGTCGACATTGCTTTGTGTGGCCTTGATTTTCAGACGGTAATGAATATGCCCTCCTCCTTTCCTCTCCCGTCACCAGCAGAAGATGCCTTCACTCAAGTAGTAGGTCTCAGGCTTATGGTTTGATTGATTTGGGTTTAACTCGTGTCAAAATCATTACAAATTAATAATCATCTCAACGAATCAGATCATTCACTTGATAATTTAGTACCACTGTGTGTACGACTAGTATTGCCACCTATAAACCAGGACAAGGATACAATGCAGGGTCCCCGAGTCGCCTTAACAGAATACAAACTTGTGGAACCCATTCGAATGATTCCCCTTTTAAACCAAATATTCGGCCTTTCACTCAAAGTGCTGGTGTTTGACATTTTATTATTATAGAAGCACTATTATGTGGCTAAATCGTTAATTCCTTTAAATAGCATGGGGTCTATTGTGGTATTTCCATCTAGGTATCAAGGTAAACTCTTTTTGCCCTACATCACAAAGGGTAGCTTCGTTTCATATAATCTATTTTGTGATTTCCATTTTTACTTTTTAGTCTCAGAAGAGAGGATCATGCTATCGATCAGACAGCGTTTTCTCAAACAGTGTGGAATACCAAATTTCCTCCCTGATTTACAACTATGCAATAAATGGGATCAAATTTACAGTTTTAACGCCTAGGGAGGGGAATACCTCTCCCCTTTGCTAAGGATTTATTATGTGAAAAACCGCATCAGACAATCTGTTTGAAATGGAATTGCCATCAAATCCATGCAAGAGGTTTAGTT